GCTTTCACCCAAATTTTGGCTCGCTTAGGTTTCCCCAGTCTCCCCGCGGAATGTTTCACCTGCGAGCTTCCATTCGTTCTATTTACTAGTGATCTTCGTACTCTCTCTTCGACCACCGTTTCAGTGCAATCCTTCCTACAAACTATTTTTTTCCCTTGAGAATTTACCATTAATATTTTATTATTACAGCTTTTACCGCTCGATAATTCGAATATTGTGTTTTAACCCGCTAGGGCCTTTTTTGCAGACAGCGAGTCTGCAACCCTTCATTTCAACCTGTCGTCACATCCCAGTCAGGGCGACCTCCCGGGGTCTGCCGTTACAACGGACATTCCGATTGAGACCTTCCAATCACACGATTCCACCATGTCGAGCTCTTCCTCAGTTGCTGTCACGAATTCATCGCGACATGTTCGTTCTAGAACCCAGAGTATCTCGAGCGACCGTCCCTCTACGACTGGCCACAACATGATGTCTCCCCCTCTCTCTGTGTCGCCCGAGGCGGTGTTCATCGCTGCGTCTGCTGCTTCGCAAATCGTCACTAATGATCATGACAGCCATTCTGAGATATGGTACGATCAGATGGGAATTGAGCCTTCGGAAGAGACTGCCTTAGTTTCACCAGGCGCTCTTCAGCTCGCCAATAATTTTGTCGATCAGCTCTTGTTCAACATAATCTCTGTCGCGAAGTCCACTTCACTATCGGCGCTGCGGCCGGCCGTCAGCGAAGTACTAAAACCGAAACTTGCTAAAGATGCTATCAACAACGCCGACGAAGAGCTTCGAGAATACCTAGGTGGTGGTGAAATTGAAGATCTAGTACAATCTCCAAATACTGAGGTACCTGCCGATTGGGATCTAGAGCTAGTGTGGAAAAGAACGAGACTACGATGTATGGTTTATTCGTCCTTGGGTGATATGGAGGAAGAAGACGAAGACTACTATATGGAACAAGAACATCTCAGAGGCGAGTCGGATGACATCATGTCCGACGTTGTATCTCCGGCAGTTGCTATTTTCTTGACCTCGATTCTAGAATTTATGGGTGAGCAGGTTCTCGTCATAGCCGGGCAAGCGGCTTTTAACCGACTACGTGTCAAGTACGAGAAAGAGTTGAAAGAAGGGACGCGAGTACGCGGTGGATTATTTGAACGTCTTGTTGTTGAGGAATTAGACATGGAGCGTGTTGCGTTGGATCGAACTCTCGGCCGACTTTGGCGTGCTTGGAAGAAGAGGATTCGGTCGCCCGGAGAGCCTAACTATTCTCGCCCTTTCTCGCGTAGTTCCTCGAGTACTTCGGGGGTGGCCAACCAGCGACGCGGGAGCGCTGCAACAGACTACGTGCAGTTGCTTCGGACACCCAGAGATTCGGACCCTGCGCTTGATGTACAGGAAGAGCAAGATGGCGAGGCGGCCGGTGAGAAAACAGATCAGAAGTCTAATCCGAAGTCAATTCCGAAGGTGGATCCGGCTGAAGTACCTCTGCCGGATAGCGATGTTGAGGCTATATATAGCGATGAGGAAAGTGAGGAGGAAAAGGATATTGGCCGGCCGAAGAGTCTGATCATATTGTCTTCATCAACAAAGGGCAGGCTAGCGTCTCTTCGAGCTTCGCTGGAAAATTCATCAATTCGGCGCGTACGGTCTCTTCCTTCTCGGAAACGCCCCCGGTATCGTTCCACTCCAGGCGCTAGTCGCGAAATTGAAACCCAGCCTCACAAAGATACAAGCAAAGATGAGGGGAAGACAATTGATGGCGTTTCTACAAAGGATACCAGATATGACGACGTTAATGAGAACGAGCAACCTAACCAAAAGTTGGAGCAGAAAGCTATCCCAGATGGGCTGATTCCAGTAGTCAATAACGACATTACACCTGCGATATCAACGAGGACTAGTAGCATTGTCCCGCTAACTGAGATTGAAGAGGACGAAATTGAGGAGTTTACTGAAGAGCCTGAAATATTAACCTCATCAAGAATTTCTATTGGAGGAAGAAGTTCCTCTCCTTCTACCTCAGACTCTGGCAAGCCTACTCCTCTTATGCCTGTAAGAACGAACAGCATACGGTCGGTACGAATTATTGAGGTGCAGAGCCCTCGTAGCCCGACGGCTGGCTCGCGAGCGAGTTCTATGGATTTCCAGGACCCTGCCTTGGTTGCTCGTAGAATTTCTACTCCTCCCATTGTCGAGGAAAATGATTCGGGAGCACCACCTGAAAAGAAGCATACCGTTATCCTTCAGCGGTCATTCGACGATTCTCAGGAAACCAGTTCCGGGGCAGTCCAACCTGCCCGGAATCCTAGTCCTTTGAGAAGCGTCCACTCCCAAGCAGTATACGAACTTGCAGCGACTATCCCCACTAAGGTGTCTATTCTGAGTGGTCCCACAACAGAACCGCCTTTGGAGGAAAAGCCTGTGGCTCCCTTGAAATCATCGAGGAACCCGCCAATGCCAACGCTGCTCGAGAGGAGTACAAGCCGACCCGTTTATGGACGGTCGAGCTCCAACGATACTGCGTCAAATATACCTGCCCGGCGTGGTACGCCGGAATCACCAAAGATGTCGCGCCCTATGCCAAGCGACTCGCCTTCTTCCACGTCCGCTAAATTCAAACCCGTCCGTACCTCTGAGGACGGAAGCTCTCGGCGCTCCGAGGATAGAGCTCGCGATTTTGAGCAGCTAATCCACAGCCAGGAAACCTTGCAGTATACCCTCACTCCAGAAAACATGCGTGATATTGACGTAAGTCTCCAATCCCCTTGCCATGCAGCCCAATCTAATAGAATATATAGTCTAGTTCATCTCAGCACACTGGAAGTCCTAAACCTAATAGGTTCCAAAGGGGCGAGGACACTAGACATGCTGAGCGCTCACGATCCTCATCTATGAAGAGGACTGCATCCTTTACGAAACAGACTAATCTCGGTTCGAATCCTCTAGGTTCTCATCCTCCTACGGACATCCCTTTTACCGGGAAATTCTCCGAAGTGATCTCGAGTGCACCCGCTCCTGTTCCGCCGAAAAGTCGATCAGGTATGGCCGCGCAAGCGAGGGAGGCGCGAGTCCCTGGGGAATCGTTGCAAGATTTTGCCAATTTTATTCGATCAACAGGACCTCCTGTCGAGCGCAGCGTTCAGCATAGCAGAGGACACGCGGCTTCGATTTCGACTATCCGGGCTCCTAGGGGTCCTACTCACGTGAAAAAGAGTGCGAGTATCGATAGCCGGCACACCGGTTTAAGCAACCGATCCCACTTCCAAGCTAGGGATGCTACAGTTAACCCCGGTAGCGAAAACTCAGATCTTATCGATTTTATTCGACGAGGACCGCCGAGCACCAATGCAAATAACCCCCGGATTCCTCGTCACGTTGCCCCTTTCCGGAGTACCATGGACTCTGACCAATTGCAGATGGCTGGCGCTGTAGGAGGCAAGGCAATCGATGCGGTGATTCCAAATATTCGAAATAGCGAGGCATCAACGAATGTTACGGAGGCTTCAGCTCCGTCGTCGATGAATTCCCAAAGCGCACTCTTGAGCAAAGTGAGCAAGGTACAGCAGTACTCTAGCAATAACTTTGATGATGACGATATGATGCCAAAGCGGACACAACGACGAGTCCGTGACCCTTATGCCATTGATTTTAGCGACGAAGAAGATGAAGAATTAGATATAATGCCCCAACCAAAGCCGAAGAAGGAAGAAAGCTTGATCGATTTCCTCAACAGTTACCCCCCTCCCCCCGAACCAATGCCTCAACCCGTTGCTATCCCGAAGAAAAAATCCAGTGCGCCAAATTTGATCGCACGTCTGAGATCGGGCGGGAGCTCTATCAGATCAGCTTCAAACCCTAGAGTATTTGGGGCCGATTCGAGGTCTCTCAGTAGTCGAGCTGGCACTAGCAAAGGCTATACGCCTATTGTCATCCCAACTTCGGCAGACAAGTTTGGGAGCAATCCCAGACCACCACCAACCGCTCCCAGTAGCTCGATGGGTCGTGTTCCGATGAAGAAATTCGAAGCACGGGATGCCGTTTCCGCCAACACCCGTACGTCGGACCTCGCTAGCTTCCTACGCGATTCCGAGCCACCACCACAGCCCGTGATGTCGCCTCCTACCCAGAACGAAAGCAAGAGCAGTGGATTCTCCCGGATGTTCGAACGCCGCAAGAAATCTACCGCATATTAATCAAATTTACCTTTACATTCGAATCTTCCGTGTATAAACTTGGTATTTCATTTCAAAACATTGGGCGCTTCCTACGGAATATAGAGCTGGGATGAAGGGCGGCAGGCTTTAAAATCGTATTCTACAATGGCGGAATCACTATCCGATTTTGTTACAGATATCTTACGCGTATATCTGTCATCGACATTGGGTGGTTGCTCTTTTTATTTTACTAGTTATCTTGACAAGTTGGTTGGCCAGTTATTCAGAAGGGCTATTTAGAGGATACCATACGTTCTTCTACTCGTTTGCGTTGCTAGCAGAGGTTGAGTGGGGGAACGTAATACGAAGAATGGTGAAGGGGGATCATTGATTGAGATATCTTGTTTAGATGCTATAATATGTACCTAGTCTTGGATATGTTGCAGCGAAATGAGAACTGGCTACATTTAGTGAACGAGGATTTGTTGGCCTGGATGGAGTGAATATTGTTGTACATCAATTGTTCTAAAGTGACATGTATAGTGCTACGTTCTAGTATATATTAATTTGTAGTTTATATGGATACAGTCCTTGCCAATGACTTCATACTTGCTGTGTCATCTCGATGACCCGATCATCTGCTCCTTAAACCGGTCTTGAAACTCCTACGAGGTGACTCCCCTAAGGGCAAATAATATTTTGAAGTGTGCCCCTATGCTCATGTGTAGTATAGGCACAGGTACCTACCTATACAGTTAGTTGGATATATTTCTTCGTTTTACGTTTATGTACTATCCGCCATTATCTAAAAGATTGGAAAATAGCAATTAGCTTGTTTAGATATCTATGTAGGCAGCTATCTACCTAGGTAGGTAGGGGACGATACGACAAGAAACCGACACATATTGTACACGAATGAATATGAATGGGAATAACATGTCTTCTGCTGGTTGGCTGACGGTGCAAAGATAGGAAGAAAGGAAAGGGAAAGAAATAAAACTAATAAACAGGTCAGGAAGGGGGATTAGCTTAGCGTAATGGTGGTGATTACTTGCTTCTCTCTTCCTTTATTCGCAAATACATTCTTGTCATAATCGTTCTTATGCTCATATTTATCTCGTAACATGTACATCACGGCTGCTAGTTGGGCTATAGTCCCGTCATACTGTGTGTGCGTGCTGCTTAGTTCCGAGTCTCGACTCCTATTCATTGGTACACGCAGAGATATATATATCTGCACTTGTTCACTGCCAATCCTCCCTTCTTCTCTTTCACATCTTCCTCGCGTATTCATAGGCAATCTCTTCCCTCCCCCTTCTCCTCCCAGCTCCGCACTCATAAGCACCGGAACAAGCTCCCCTACTTAGTCCCGCAGATGTCGCGAGACCCACGCGCGAAAACCCCCTTTCTTCGACTTCCTCCGCACAGACCCCGAGTCTGATTCATACTCGTAAGACTCCCGGCGTCCACGTCTGTTGTAGACTACGCCGCGCGAGATGGTGGTCAGCGTGGAGATGGAGGCCCGGCTTGAGCTGGGGCTCGAGGTCCAGGAGCGAGGGGAGTTGGCCTGCACAATGGCGCTTGCTTCTTCGTCTGCGTTGACGAGGGCTGTGGCGCTGTACGTGTCGGCTTGGTCCATGGTGTTTCTTACGTCTTGCTGTATGCTTGTGCGGTGCGGGGATGTGAAGATGGCGGGGGAGGTGAATGATTGGGGAATCCACTCTTCGGCGGGCTCTGCGGCGACAGCACCGAAGTGAGAATCGGGCGGAGGGGGACGAGACGGATATCGAAGCGGTCCTGGAATTCGCGTGGCTGTCGAGCGGGAACGGGTGCTCTGATGAGGGCGTTGCTGTGAGGGACCAGGGTTGCTCACGCTATTGCTGTTGCGACGATGGTGGGAGGGCTGGGATTGCTTTTGTTCCTGCTCGCGTTGCTGTTCTCGGTCTTGGTGCTGCTCTACGTGCTTTCGATGGTGCTCCTCTTGATACTTCATAGCTGCTCGAGGATCCGACTGGTCGAAGGGTGGCTGGTCATAGATTGAATGCTTTACGTCATGAGTAGGTTCGCCCACCTGCTTGTCATTGTTGATATAGTACTTATGATAGTGGTTGTGGACGTGGTAGTGATGATGGTGGATGTGAGTACAGCGACCAGTACGGCTCTTGCTGTTGTCTCTATCTCTGTCCTTGCTTGTGCTCTTTTCCTTTCCTTTATCTTTGTCCTTGGTGTCCTTGTTACCATTGTCGGCGGCAGGACGGAGAGTTTCGCGGGCGTGAGAATGGCGTATACGGCGAGCTTGCTCATTGCGGCGTATCTCATCATGCGCCGAGCTGGAGGCCGAGAGCGGAGGTGTAGGAGACTGGATGTTTATGCGAGGTATGGGAACATTGGGCTTGACGGGATGAGAATGGCCTCGTTTCTTGTGCTTTGAGGGCGAAGCAGAGTCGTCCCCGGAGACAGAAGTAGGTCTTCGGGTTCTGTGACGACTTCTACCACGGCGAGGCGAAGACTCATAGGAATTACCTCCCATTCTATAATAAGAATTCAGTTTCTTGTTACTTTCTATGTAAGAAATACATCGTCTTACCTTGTCAACTAGATCCTAGACGGCGTGCGATAGAAGCTTAGAGGTTAATGATGAGCAAGTGATTGCGCCAAATTGGTTGACAACATTGTAAATATTGAACGCAAAATAAACTGGCGCGGGGAAGGTGAATTTCATAATAGGGCAGGGCTCGTTGCCATGATCAGGGGCTTGTGAATTATTAACGCGTTGCCGGAGTGAATCGTACTGCCGTTGTCGAGGTGCCTGATTCTACCGCCTTTCATCGCCATCTGCCAATACGATTCCATGGTAACAACAAGCAGATAAGGTAGGTATCTAAGTATTCTATTAATCGTCTAGGCGGAGTCGTAGTTCGTATAATACATAAGTACATCCATTACTACTTGGGGCTCCAGTGCTTTTCTCGCTGAACGCTGTACGCTGTACGAACAATAGGAAGGCCAGGGATTCGAACTCGCTCGCTTTTTCTCCCTTATAAGCTCCCTTATAAGGCTTTTAGTTGTGATCGATCTTGCTGACCGTTCGAAGAATATCTTGCGGCTAGAACCTCCTCCGGATTCTGTTCAAGTCCAGTCGACTCCTTATATCGTTGGCTAAGTGCCCTCTCCTCTGTAGATAGTTGTGATGAGAGCTCTTCGCCATTTTGCTCAGCTCCTCCTACTACTGCCGACTTCGTCTTGTCAGCTGCATCCTTGCTCTTCCAGATACTCCTTGCTAAGCCGCCTAGGAATGAGCCCTTTGCCTCTTCGGCCTTTTCTTCTGTACGTCCAACCACCTCAGAGCCCTTGGCCTTCGCATCCGCATATGCGCTCTTGGCCGCCGCAGCTACACTCGCGGCTTTCTCCTTGCCCTGGTCTAGTTTTTCATTTGCAACTGCTTTTGCGCTTGCTGCCACATCCTCACCCTTCTCTCCAGGTCTCTGGGCATCACCAAATGCTCTAGCCCAGAGCCTAGCGAAAGCGATTTCGACATTCTCTCGCACCTCCTCCCAGTCCTTGTTCTGAGCCCAATGGACAGCACCTTCTATTTCAGCATTCCAACGATCTTTAGCCCTCTCGATAAGATTGGCACGCTCGGCTGCTGCAAGCTCGGCCCTTGTGGGTGGCAAGACAGGCGGCAGAGGGTCGATGATACCGGATATTAGACGAGTCTGCTGTCGTAGGATGGCAGCTTGGCGCTCTCGGTGTCGTTGGTGTGCTAGTACACCTAGGTAAGCTACTGAGAGGGTGAGAGTTACACCTCCAGTCTATTCATATAAGAGATAGCTTGTTAGTTTATTATTCTAAGACTTGGTGCCATATGAGAACGTACGAATCCAGTTGTAAAGCCCATGTTGAGCTGTTTAATATGCGCGCTATGGCGCAGGTGCTATAAAAACCCAATGATGTATTGTACTTGTGAAATCAAGGGAAACGAGTGTAAGCTTCGACAAACTCCCTTGTAGGATTGTCCAAAGAGCCAAGTTCAATGCGAATATTAGATCGAATATTAAATCGAATATTAAATCGAATATGAAATAAATCGAATTTGACGTTTAACGAATGACGAAAGTCACGCTACATGTACTATTCCCTGATGAGTAGAGGTACGTACCTTGTATGTGGGTCCAGAGCTCGGGCCGTGCCAAGATCCAAAAATTCAAAGTAACTTTGTACCCCAGTCAATAATTTGAACCTCAAATCGTCAACTCAAACCATCCCACCTTGCCTTGCCTTGCCGCAACAAAACCCCAATTGCACCACCCGAGATCAAATCACCCGGTCGAGCCGAAGGATGGCGGGTGGTCTAGTCAAGTACCGACACTTGAGTCGGAAGTCGTCGCATCGACAAGCCCTACTGCGAAACTTGGTCACGGCTCTCGTCCAGCACGAATCCGTCCGAACGACATGGCCCAAGGCCAAAGAGACACAGCGTCTCGCCGAAAAGCTCATTACTCTCGCTAAGAGGAACAACGAGACTAGCAGACGGAAAGCTACGGGTATATTATTCGTAGGTAGTCCTTTTCTTCTTCCCTCCCAACACCAACCAACAAACCAAGTTATACATGACATCCCAACTCGGAAGCAGATTTATATAAATATAGAAAAAATAAAGTGAAATCTCTTGATAACTAACCCCCACCACCACCACAGACCCCCCAAAACCTCCTCCCCAAACTCTTCGGCGAGCTGCGCCAGCGCTACGCCTCGCGGCCAGGCGGATACACGCGCGTCCTGCGAACGGAGCCCAAGTCCCGCTACGACCAGGGCGACTCGGCCATCCTCGAACTAGTCGACGGGCCCAAGGATCTGCGGTTCGCGATGACGGCTGCTGCCTTTGCGCGCGAGCAGCGCCTGGGCCGCCCCCACAACGCCCTCACCCTGCTCAACCGCCAGAAAGTCACGCGCTTCCGGCCCGGCGGCCAGGCTGCCTTCGACGAGATGGTGAAGAGGGTTGAGGGGTTGCGGTTGGGTGGGAAGGGCGCTGGTGCGCAGGGTGAGGGGGAGGCTCCTGCTAGTTAGAGGGTGTGGTTGGTTTTATGAGGGGGGAAGTGGAAGAGTTTGGTTTGGTCTGGTCTTGCTATTACGGGTGGGAATCTAAGAACACTGAAACTACCGACCTCGAGTGCTTCAAGTTAGAAGCCGTGGGGTGTTGTACGAATTATGTACCATAACCATAACCGCAGCACATACAAGAAAAGAGAAAGAAAGAAAAGAAAAGTCCCAATTCACAAACCCACTGCTCAAAACCCGCCTGTGAATAAACTCCTATCTAGGTTACTAATCTCTCATACAAAATCAAACGTATCCCCCTTCTCCTTAATCATCCTGCCCACCCTCTTAGACCCAACAACCCTCTCCAGTTTCAGAAGATCATACCTCGAGAACATAACCCTCACCGTCCCCCTCCCCGGTTCCAGTTTCAACTCCCTCTCGCTGCGCCCTAGATACCCGCCCACGATCTCCTTGTAGAAAGTCGGGTTATCAGGTAATCCGTACATAACAACCCGGCGGACGCCCCGCAGCGCGTACCGTCGGAAATGGTGCGCGCGCTCCGTGTACAGCAGGACTTGGTGCCGACCGCTTGCGAAATGGGACCGCGCGCGCGATGCCTCGGGTACCTCTGCGTACTCGGATACTGCGGCGAACGCGAGACCCGCGCAGGCGGGGGAAGTAGCGAAGTAATTGCGCACGCGCACGAAGTCGAGGTACGACGGGACGAATATCAGAGTGCCGCTGAGGTCCTGACCCTTCGCGCGCTTCGTCAGCGCCGGTATGACCGCGCTGGTGAAGTACTCGAACCTAGCGTCGGGCTCGGCGGCTACGGAGGGGGCTTCGAACCGCGAGAACGTCTGCTTGGCCTTGACACCGAGCTCCTCGATAGCGCCGGGATAGGCTTCGGGTTGCACGCGTAAGCGGCCGGCCCAGTTGGTACCGAAACGGCGATGCAGCTCGACGAGCTCGGGCGTGTTGAAGGCTGATAAGACGAGTGTCTGTCGGAAGTTCTGGGCCTGCTTGTCGAGGTACCACTCGCGGACGCGGCTGAAGTCGCAGTCGTGGGCCTCGCGCGGCTGGAGGTTGAGGTGCTCGAAGATGTACTCGACGTGCTCCCAGTTCTGCATAAGTAAAGCATCGGCCTGGTCGACGACCACGACCTCGATGGAACTTAGGAAGTCGAAGTCCACCTTCTTGTCTTCCTCAGATCCGATGGCCATGCGCAGGCCGAGCGGAGACGCGATCAGGATGTCCGAGTTGTAGAACTGCGCAAAGTATTTAATGGTCTTCCGGGTGAACTTGATGCCGATGCGGAACATGTCGTCGTCGTTCCCCTCGAAGAGCTCCCGGAAGTCTTCTGGGCGGTCCTCTGTGAACTTGGCGTCCTTGTCAAGGTATGAATCGTCGAAGCGTTTCCTGTTTTCCTGCTGTTCCGGTTCGCACAGGGCACAGATCATGTTGACCATCTTGACGGCTGAGTTCCGGGTCGGAAGCAGCATCAGTACTTTCGGACGCGTGAAACCCTGATCTCTCGGCTCAAAGTCGCTGTTTTCGGCGTCCTTTGCTAGTTTAGCATTGCTCTTGATGACTCGATCTCGAGTTCTGAATTTTCATTAGTGAACCATATCTCTAAAAGGTATTCGAGAAATACATACTTGAAGACATGATTGACACTATGAAGACATGCCATCCGGCGTAAGTTTTCAGCATTTCTCGGAGTCCTTCCACAAAATAATATATCATTATAAGCGAATGTCAACGGATATAGAACTTGCTCCAGCTTGTCAAATGTTGGCCGTTTTCGGTTGGCTGTTTCAGCAAGTCGATGTTTGAGGTTTAAGCTGGATGGTCCGGGTATAGGGGGCGGGAGTGCTGCAGGTTGGGCTATATCTTTTCCAGGAAAGTTGCGTATTAATCGCCAACCATTCTTCTCAGAATGAGACTGAGAATACTCGTTATTTTGAATGGCCTTTATACGATTTTGCACCTCGTTCTGATCTGGGTTGACGAAGTGAGTCTCGAATGGGTCGGATGAATCTGGAATATCTTCATCGTCGTCATCATCCGTTTCCATCTCATTTTCTGGCCCCTCTTCCGCCTCCTCCACATGATCGATGTCCCGTTCTTCATCTTCGTCGGTTGCAGTGGCCTCGTTTTGATTAAGTTTACTGGACTCGACTTCTTCAGACTGAGTGTCAAGTTTTCTTCTTTTGGCACTTGGAGCTGATGGTTCTTTAGATAAACTTTGCATTAACGCAAAGTAAGGTCGGCTAGTCGCCTGCTCCTGTTCATCTTCTGATCCAGAACCTTCATTCTCGGATGCTTCATCTGATGGAAGCTGTTCTTCTTCTTCAGACACTTCATCTTCTGATTCCCTATAAGAAGTATTAATGATTAATTCTTCATTGAAATGAAAAAAAGAAAGAAATGAAAAACAAGCCTTACTCGGACTCGACGATCCTTGCGCTGTCAAACGTTCTTTTCCCATTAAAACCTCCTCCGCGCCCCCGTCCGCGTCCTCCTCCTCGACTTCCTCCCCGACTCATTCCCCTTCCTCTACCTCTACCTCTAGGAGCACCTCCACGGCGAGCGCCTCCTCTGGGTTTACCTCGCATAATATAAGTTTAACGAGAATAAAAATAAAATCAAGTTAAAAAATTAAAGTTGCATAATTCGTTAAAGAAAATCTCATACATAGGGTGGTTAAACTGTAAGGGAAATTCTAATCGACAGTCATCAGCCTTGCAGAATTTCTTGCACGCAAGCCTCGCATTATGGATCCTTGCCACGCTCCACACCAATCGCTACGTAAATAACCCACCCCTGTAAACCCAGACTTTTAATCCTTATCTTCGCACCCCCCCTCAAATCTTCAGCCTTGCCCACAACCCACTGCGAACCCCCACTACGCCCAGAAACGTGAAAATTACAACGTCGCCAGCGAAAAAAGAAAAAAAAAAAGGATTAAATAAAAAAAAGTTTCGATTAATTGGATTGAGAGACAGCGAACTTCCGATACTTATCGTCAACCCACCTCTCCTCCGTAAAATAAAAATCCGGCCTCCAGAATACCGCAATCATGGCCGTGGATACGGAACCGTTCCTTCATCTGGCGCGACCTTTGGCACCGACGACTTTGCATTTCCAAAGCCATCTTTCCCCGCTCTCCGTTAACATCCTACCACAAGTATGTCACTTACCTACCGCCTTGTTTTGTTCTTGGCTATATTCCTTTTTTTCTTATTAGTACCAACTAATAGTAATAACAGGCCATCCTTTCCGTCCTCGACCATGCCACCCGCCGCGATATCCGTCCCGCGCCGACGAGCTCCTCCCGCGTCATCGGCGCGCTGGTCGGTACCCGGTCCGAAGATGGCGGCGAGGCCATCGTAGCGTCGTCGTTCGCCATCCCCCATACCGAGAACGAGGACCAGGTCGAAGTCGACGTTGAGTACCAGAAGAACATGCTGTCGCTGCACCTGCGCGCCCACCCCCGCGAGGTCCTGCTCGGCTGGTACACCACCTCCCACGAGCTCAACTCCTTCAGCGCCCTCATCCAGAACTTCTTTGCCAGCCCCGAGACCGGCACCTTCCCCCACCCGGCCATCCACCTCACCGTCTCCGCCGAGCCCGGTACCCCCGTCCGCACCCGCGCCTACATCTCTGCCCCCATCGCCGTCAATGCCGAGCGCGCTTCCGAGTCCTGCCTCTTCATCCAGGTGCCCCACCGCATCGCCTACAACGACGCCGAGCGTTCTGCCCTCGACCTGATCTCGAGCGCGCGGGACACCGAGGCGCGCGCCGCCCCCGTCATCTCCGACGTCGAGTCGCTGACCCGCAGCCTGGAGCACGCGCAGGATCTGCTCGACCGGGTATCCGACTACGTAGGGGGTGTCATCGACGAGGAAAACGAGCCCAACAACGCTCTGGGCCAGTACCTGATGGGAGCGCTATCTCTCGCACCCAAGGTGGACCCCACGCGGGTCGAGTCCGACTTCAACAACCACATCCAGGACGTGCTCATGGTCAGCTACCTGGCCAACAGCATCCGCACCCAGATCGACCTCAGCCAGCGCCTAGCCACGGCCATACTAGCCACCGACGAGGGCGGTAAGACCGACGGCAAGGACGACGGCAAAGAGGGTGGAGACCGCAGGGGCGAACGCGGCGAGAGAGGCCGAGGCGGCAAGAGAGGTGGTCGTGGCGGTGGCAGAGGCGGCGGCCAGCGAGAGCCGCGTGAGCCTCGCGAGAACGGCGAGTGAAGCTCGTACACGCCCCCAAACCTAGAAGCCAAGTAATGAATAGACGAGATGTGATGTAAGTCCTACGTTACGACGGGCTGGGCTTATCATGTACTCGGGTAGTATTGTTAGAAGCGAGGCGGTGGCAAAAGGGAAAACCTAGCATGGATAGTCCTAAGAACGATAGTAGTGGCAGTGGTAGGATCAAAAGGGGCCGTTAGTGCGGCGTCTACCTACCGCATATACAAACACATACGCATTGGCAAGGGGCGATGAAAAAAAGGGTCGCGAAGCAACTTGTGAAAGATGCGCAAGTCGTCGTCCTAGGCGTTCGCGTCCGGTTACTTAGGGGTATCTTCAGTCTTTATTTAGAAAGGGAAACGCTATTGCAGCAATGAAAAACAAGATTCTGAAACTCCTCACTGGTATTATTATTTGTTCCCCCGCACGGCAAAACATCATCACATGCATAACCATATTGACTCGTAGAATAACCGAAACTCGAGGTAGAATAATGTAATATTGCTTTCTTGCTTGCTTTACTCTACGTCTTGAAAAGCAAATACTATATCTTGCGATGCCAGGTATTCGTAACCTAGTTACCGTCACTGTAGAGAGGAGTCCGTCCCTTTTACTTCAAAACAGAATGGGAATAATACCGGACACCTTCAACTTCGATGCCCACTGATACGGGGGGCCATGAGATCCCATCCTACCATCAACGTCTTCAGTGAAAAGCTTTCCCCTGCGCCAGAACGCCAGCCAATGATACCAATACAACAACCCGCCAATTTACGCCGGTGTCGTTGTCTCTGTAAGATTCCCTTTATCCATCCGCCTTAAAACTGTCTTAAGTCCTCACCGAAAAGAATAAACACCACTAATGCTTGCTAACTTTTCATGCACGTGTTGCCTTGCGCGAGTTTTCGTCTAGATTCCAGTGGGTGGCTTTTGCGGCAGGGTGGCCGGATTGCCGTAGGTAGGTAAGTGGCTAAAGGTCTGGTTTGGTCCGGTCGGCGGAGGAATGCTCGGGATGTTGGGCATCTGAACCGGCACTTGGGGCAGATGTACTGGAGGATGTTGAGGGAGGTGCTGGGGCTGGGGTGGGTGATAAGCCGGCAACGAGCTGTTAGATCCTTGCCGACTCATCCCGTAGCCTGGTCCACCCATATACGGTTGAGGCGGAGCGGGAGAGCTGCTATATGCACTATAGGCTAGATGAGGCGAACCAACCTGGGGGCTACCGTGCCCGCCCATATTATAAGGGGGTAGCGGAGGTTGGACCTGCACCATGCCATTGCCAGGGACAAAGGACTGGGTTTTAGGATTAAATGCATGCCGATTGTAGCTCCCCGGAATAGGATGCTGGCTCTTTGGATCATGCGGATTGGCATTCGCAGGAAGCTGTCCGAATGCGTAAGGGATACCAACTGGCCCTGGGTTTCCCGGGGTCTGAGGTTGAGGAGCCCGGCTTTGATACGGGCTTAGTGGCGGAGCCTGTGTATAATTAGGTTGCCATTGTTGAGGCGGAGGGGTTTGAACTGGGACCGGGACTGGGACCGGGCCAGCGTAGGTACCCACGGCGCCATTAGGTGCAGTGTACCGTGGCGGAGTGACCTGCGTCTGAGGAGGATACTTTAGATAAGGTTAGCTACGTGAGTATACAACGTGTTGAGAGAACACCCACCATTGGCATATTACCGTACTGCGGAAATGCGCCGTTAGGCATCATGGCAGGATAGGGTTGCGGAGGCGGCGCATAAGCCTGGGGTATCGGGCTTTGGTACGGCTGCTGGACAGGACTGTTATACTGTGGGTGCCCGATGGGGATATAATGAGGCGTAGTCCAATTAGGTTGGTGAGGATGGTAATACGGTTGATACTGTGATCGGGAATCAAAGCTCTCAGAGTCGTCTCTTCGCTGCTTGCCCATCTTTCCTCTCTTCCCAAGGCTTGACTTATCCTTTGCTGATACAGAACTTGCTCGAGAGATGCCATTCGCATCGTCATTGTCTAAAATTAGTTAGTGGCTTGCTAACATAATTGGTAGACTATAAAGTATCTCACCTGGTGTAGACTCTCCAGGTTTGTCCGAACTGCCAAAAATCCTCTCTCGGGCTTGTTTGTACGCCTCTTCGCGCTCCTCTCTAGTAGGCCTGGCGTATAGTTAGCACTGGATCTGCGTTTAATATTTAGGATACTTACTTGTCTTTCGTAGTCGACTTTTCCTTGCCATCGCTTCCCACTTCGGAGGTTGCTTTGGATGGACTGGTACTAGCTTGTCCTGATCCATTTTCCTCGCCACGCCGCATGATCTTCTTGGGTAGGAGTTGCGGAGGCGTTGTGGTAGTATTGCTATTGGGGGGGTTGCCCACGATACTGGCCAAGGAGGGAGGAACTCGGCAGAAAGGAGTCCGAAAGATACGAACAGAACCTTGGATGGCTTCGAAAGAATGCGTCATGTGATAATAGTCAGCAAGTTTGTGGGTTAACATTCTACAGAACGAGTTATTCGGTGGAAGATCCATATAGGGCTCCCTGGTCGAACATTAGCACCTTAAAGGGTTGCAGGAGTCGAACCAATGCTTACTTAGAGGTCTGAACAAAATTAATAACGTCCTGCTCTAACCGCAGGAGGAAAATCCGATCTTTCGGGGATTGCATAGCTTCCAAAAGCTTTTCATCTGGGTTCTGGCCGTATATTGATGTAAAGGCGTCGGACGACCCATTCACGATTCCCAGTGTCGGGGGTTGCTCTACTGGGGGCTGCTGACTGGAAGCACCGCTCTGTGGGGTGGCAATTCCTTTGTCTTGCAACTCGGGGAGTATTTGGACGATTCGTCTCTCCGGCATATCGCCAATTCTAAGACGATGAATACGAGCTACTTCAGAGCCAATCCGGGAGTTAGCAATTAGTGAACCCCTTATTGAAAAGGACTCGTCCTCCTCTGCAGACGCTTTCACGCTAGCACTGTCATCCGGGCGTAGGGACTCCTTTTCATCAAGCGCAAATGTAGTCCCCGAAGTAATACTCTTCCCATCAATACTGGGCGCTTTAGTACCCATCTCCGAATTAGAATCAGCCCTTTGCGAAGCGTCATCCGATACTGACGCCCCATTGTCGTTCTTAGTTCGTGCTTCGCCTATGGAAGACGAGGAGCCATTCACAACGAGACTAGGTGTGGACGAAGCGCTGGCAGTAGAGAGAGAGGCATGCACGGTCTTCCCGCCTTGCGCAAGTCTAGTACCATCAACGACCACGCTACTGACCGGAGCAACGGCTATACCATTTTCTTTAGAAACTAGAGGAGACTTGGCGGCAGCTACCGGACTATTCCCAGACGTGGCTGTGGTACTCTTAGTCGTCGCGACTGGAGTAGTGGAAGCGACAGCGGGCTGCGAGCGATGTTCTATAGCTGGTACAGCAACTCGAGGAGCCGAAACAACGGGCATATTTTCTTTAGGTTTAGACGCAACCACCTAGATTGCTTGTCAGCTAAATATCGATAGGACAGGAGGGAAAGCAACGCGCAGAGCTGAAGCCGAAGCCGAAGCCGAAGCTGAAGCTCAGAGTAGTCATACCTTGGCGAAGGACAATTTTTTAGGACCAGCGGTCGCGGGGGGTGCGGTCGCCATAGTTCGTACGGATCGCGTTTAAAGCTGAGTATGGTAGGCAAGGCGTATCACTTGTTCTCGATAACGACAGAAAGAAAGGCGACGGCAATCTCGCAAGTTCTGATCAGAGCCCTGAACGAACAAATACACTTAACGATCGAGAGGACCAATAGCTTCGGTATGACGACGTCAGAATAGCCGGAAATCAGGAAAGAAAATGAACAAAAGCAGCCCTTGGGGAGTACGAAATACGGCTAATCATTGTTGTGATCTGGGTATCTCGAAATCGTATCGGAAGGTTCCAAGGTTCGAGTATTGGAGCGCAGAGGGCCGTGTTGAGATTCTCAAGCTACCGATGATGAACTATATGTGAGGTGCCGAAGAATGGTGGTGGGAGTGGTCGAGACTAGAATAGGGCTGCCGTCAGCATGGGAAGGAAGATCAGGGTTGGATGCGGGATTGGGGGGGGGAGTGTGAAAAGAATAGAAGGGGACTGGTAGGCTTAGGCCCAGACCGGATCAGTTAGGTCAGTTACTGGGACTAAATGGGGATTGGATTGGTTGAAGACGATGTAATAGTTGAGTGGTAGTATATATAGGTATGTATGTTGTGTGTATAGAGAAAAGTTGGGTTGCACGTACATCTGTATGTAGTTGTATGTAGTCGTATGTAGTCCTATGAAGAATATGGAGGGTAGAAGTATGGCTCGTACTGGCAACTCGGTCGCAAAAGATTAGAGATCTAAAATGATGCGCAGGTGGTGGTATGTCCGTATTTGGGTAGAGTCGTAAGCCACCTCAGGCACCAATGTGTTCTTCTGACCGACGATATTCTTAGGTGGATCGAACCGTGCCGATGTCTAGATATAGCGTGACCGTGACCGTGACCGAACAAGAGGAGAATGAGGCTACCATATAACCTTTCCTCTCTTCCTAAATTTGGTTCGCCGTCGCACTCAGCCTTTTCGGTTGGTAAAAGGGCGACAGTGAAGTCCTCGCGTACTCCAAAATGCGAAGGACGTAAATGAGGTTTAATCGTTGCGGATTGGGAGATCGGGGAAATCGATCGTGACCAAAACCAAGTGAAGTAAAATCAAGTTTCAATATTTCTTCCAGGTCGGGCCTGTTCTCGGTCGATGAACATTGGAACATTAAAAATGGGCAGGGCTTTTGGGACAAATCTTGGGGAGGCGCTAGTTAGCGAGTTAGCGCCTCAGTTTACCTGCCGCCTGCTGCCGGTAGGAGCCGTTCTCCCCTGACTGCGGCTGGTTTACTCCCTTTCAGTACATGTATGTACCTAAAGTACACAGTACGTACCTGTCAAAATTCCATCTTCAATGTTCAACCTGAGGTTTCAGATGTACATAAGGTAGGACGGTGCACGGAACTTTGGATTCATGGCTGAGAAACTGCTCGCACCGCCACAATAGTTATATATATACCTAGGTAATATGTACCTCTCCAGTTAATATATCCAAGGACATCAGATAGCCAACCTTCAATGTCATCAAAGGGCTGCGCAGTGTGTCAAGGAAACGAATGATACACTTGTATTAAAATATTTCATAAAACACCAATTCCATCTCATTCTATTCAAACCCACAGTTCATTTTTCAAACACAGACCGTCATTCTGACTCTTCCTCTTTCCTCCTCTTTCCACCGCACCCTCATAAGAACCAGTCTACCTCACAGCCATGTATCGACGAGGTCCTCCAAAATCTACTCCCACAAGTGTACAATGCCAAAAGTGCCTTAAAAGAGATATGTCCTATTTAATCCAGTTCTCTTAAAGAATCCTACTGACATTTTTAGCACGTCACTACTCATACGAATGTAAAGCCACAACACAAGAGCGGCCTTATGTCTCAAGACCGTCTCGGACACAGCAACTCTTCAACCCGAAACTTGTTCCAAAGCTGGCTAGTGACACTCCAGATGCCTTGCAGAAGCAGTATGAATTACCCAGAGACACTAAACCTAGGCACCACTAACAGTTCTATAGGAAAGGTGTGGCTGATGAGGAACTGGCCAAGAGAGAAGCCGAAAGAGCGAAGAAGCGGGAACTAGAAGCAGATGAATCGGGTGACGAATCTCCGAAACGTAGGAGATCAGCTTCTTATGATTCTGTGTCTTCCATATCTACGAGGCGGTCCGCTTCACCGCCACCCCGAGCCCAGCAACCCGCTGCGGCTCATCCAGATGTTCCTAGGAGAGAGAATGATCATAGCGTGCGAAGGGATTCATATAGCTCTGCCAGCGACTATAACCGGCGCGACGACCCAAACCCTCGGAGTTCAACTAAAAATGACAGCCCATTAGGTGGATCTGCTAGGCGGTCAAGATCCCCTACACGGGATGATAGCCCTGCACGAAGTCATCATGATGCAAAAGATGAAGTCCCGAGACAAAGGTCTCCGAACAATCGGCGTAGAAGATATTCTTCAAGTCCTAGCAGATCCCCGCCGCCACGCGAACGACGACAGTTTCGTTCCAGATCTCCAGATGAGCCCAGAAGGCGTGACAGAAGCCCACCACGAGACTACGAAAGACAAGCAAGCCGGGACCCAGCACCTATTCATAGAAACGACCGAAGACGTGGGGGAGCACCGCCGCGTCGAGAGCAGCGCGAGCGCAGTCTAAGCCCCTTCTCCAAGAGACTAGCTCTTACGCAGGCAATGAACACGAGTCGTTGAGATTGGGTATCATAGTATTAAGTTAAAAGGAAAACCCAGTTCTACTTAAGCTTACATATATTGTAATTGAGTCCACTTTTCGCCAATGCTGTAAACCAAACGCCGTAGCCATGCAAATTCAATTCCTTACGATATCCTCATTCATTATCCTCATCTTCCCGCTCTCTCCGCTCCTCTTCCTCTTCCTCCCTCTCTCGTACCCGTACACCCTCAACTAACGCAACACCATCCATGCCTGCTGCCTCCACACTTCCCTCGTCCCCATTTTCCACAGGCTTAGCCGTCTTCTTCGCTACGTCCTGGGCATTTGAAATGCGTTCCCTAACCAGCCTCGCAATAGCATTGTCTGTGCGCACGTTGAGAATCTCCAGCTTCTTATCTAGATCCCTCTTAAGGTCCCAGTTCGGTTTCTTTGGTTGGAGCTTGAACAGATCGACGCCCTTGTCATCTTTTGCGTCCTCGGCAGCTTTCCGCTTGATCTCGGCCTCCACCTCGGCCGCTTGTTCCTCTAACGTTGGCCCTTCCATGCCGAGTGTCGGCGGCGCCTCGAACCCTAGCTTCGGGCCTCTCGTCTCGGGGTCATAGTTGCGGCCTGATAGGTGAAGACGCGCTACAGCTTCTTCTGTTTCCGCGGTTTGTTGGGCTTCTTCTACGGATGTAGATGCGGGCGGTATAGGTGGCGATGCTGAACGTTCTGATTCTGGAGGCGCGATCTCGTCGGCGGGTTGTTTGCGCTTTAGGTTCTTGAGCTTAGCAAGTCGCGCCTTGCGGTCGTCGGCTGCTGCACTAAGTGTTGCTGGTGACGTTGACATTTTCGTATTGTACCAAATATATTTTCCTTCCTATTCAGAATGGTCGAGAAGCAAAGCCGTTTAAAAAATAAAAATAAAAAGTTTCGAAAATGGAGTTAAGCTTAAGCTTAGAAAAAGTAGAGGTACAGGCAAGTGCGACATGGCGGTTTGGCAGGTAGTCGTTATGATTACTTATCGATAAGGATTCGAGGTGCGATAAGGAAACTAACCCCTGCAATGCAACTTTTAGAGGATCTTCTAAATGCTTCAACATCTAGAGAAATACCGCCCTGTGACATCCGATTCTGTATACTATCGACACTCTAGAGGTAGTATACCTCTAAATTCCTATAATGGTAGACTTTTAGGCTTGTCTTCACTTTTATTCTCCCTTAGAAGTAGGACGCGATGCCCGCAAGTGGTCATGAAAATGCCTAATTGTCAACCTCATATCGATCGAATCCGTCTGCCCGCACTGGCAATAATTTTATCTTCTCGATCATGACAACACCATTCATATGTCGCCAATGCATAGCCCGGCTTACCCAATCTCATTCTGTGCGAATAAGACCTAGGCGTTTTGAACTACATACTCAAGCCATCTCAACAGCAGCGCCGCAGTCGATATGGACTTTCCCAGCAGAGCAAAGACGAGAGCTCTCGAATGGATATGATGTTGCAGATAACCACGGGGCTGGACTTCCTACATACGACCCAACTTGGCTTCCGCAAACGTATCAAGGCGAGCCAATTGCAGAGGACCAACCCGTGTGGGATGGGCATTTTAAGAAGTTTGTTCCTCGACCTCGGCCAGAGCTGGCTAAACTCCGTAACCAACCAGTCAGAGGTTCTCATGACCTACAGAAAAAGATACTACAATCTCTAGGAGACTACAGCATCGTATATGAAGATCTGATGCATATGTATGGTCTCTCCCCTGGAGAAGCACATCATGCGATAAGCCAACTGGAAAGACTTATAGGGGGGCGGTTGGCGGTAGAAGCTGGAACACGACTCGAGCATTTTCACGCGTGGAAAACTCATTTCAGAGAGCTGTTGGAAATAGTCTCTAGTTCTCACCATGCTCCCGGAACCGATGACGATTTATCCAAGCATCCTTTATGGACGCCTTCGGGGAGACAAGACTCAGAAGCAATGAAGGAAGTATGGCAGAGACAAAACCAAACAAGACGCGAGTCCATATGGCCGCATATAATAATATCTGCGTTTCGTTCGCACCTTAGCACAATACCCAGTCTTATTCGGGCAACATTTCAGCCCTCATGGTGCCCAAGCTACATCGTGGAGGATATAGTTTATCTCCTTTCCCAGACTTTAGATGACAATCAGATCAGCAAGAGTGACCACCGGCAAGTCACCGAGCTCATCTTTTTTTTGCTTAAGAACAGTACCCCAAGGTATATGGTTCTAGAGCAACTGGTGATTCGGAAAGTCATCTCCTCACTACCCACATCCAAGTTAGTTGAGCTTCATGAAGACCTGAAAAATATCGAGCATCCGTTAAACCAGAACACGTTATTACATTTCGCAAGCCGCTTTTCCCGAGGTTCGAAATATAAAATACACGCAGCTGAAATCATACATTTTCTTTCGAGCCTTCCTGGGTTCGACATTAATTCGCCAGCGGCGATCAGCACCTGTACCTCTCTCCTCTCAGTGGAAGAAGGCAATTTACCGGGTGACCATGCAGCCCCAGATGAACTATTCAAAATGCTTTTGGACGCCGGGTTCCAGCCAAATATACTTACTCTATCTACACTCATGCGGAACTTTTGCATTCGCGGACGAGTTGAGGTTGCATTGAGCATATTTGATCTCTTGGCCAAACGTGGTATCGAACCGGACCCTCACATATTCTCGATTCTTATTAACGGGGCAAAGCATGCTTTAGATTTTGAATCGCTTCACCGTATTGTCGCTATGATTGAGGCGCGCCAGGTCTGGTCCCTATATCTCGTGAATGATGTCTTAGATTTCATATACCAATACAATGAGTCTCAACGACAGCATAGGCGAAGACAACGAAAAAGGGACACAGCACGCGCCTGGAGATTGATGGTCCAGGTATACTTGAAGTTTTTTAAACTCGCCCCGTTCCAGAAGCTCACTCTCTTCCCACTGGAGAATCTACTTGCCACGCGCCCAGAGCAGATATCTCCCAAGTTAAAAGGAGTCGATCGATTTATTGCTATGCTGAAACCACTACCAGATGCATTGCTCATGCAACCAGACAGCATCACCCTGGGGCTTATGTTTAGAGTCCATTTCTGGACTATTCAAAGGGCAGGACCTTTACGAATGTATTATAACTACTTCATGAGGCTTTTGAATAAGGGTGATCCGATCATGACCCAAATCATAAAAGACCAGGGAACTATAGTTATTGACACATTCTTGCGGAATTTTATGCAATTCGGTTCGACCTTCGAAAGCGGTATCCGCATAGTACAAAACATGCATAACCGCGCAAACCAGGAGATGGAAAAGCTCGGGAAGAACGTACTCCATCCGCAGCCGTCGGTCTACACTTACACGATATTAATGACGGGCCTCAGAAATCATAAGCACACCCAAGGAGTAATCGTGGCTCTCAACATGATGATCAAGGAAGGTATCGTGCCCAATATCGTCACCTGGAACGCTGTGATCGGGGCCCTGCTTCAGAAAGGTTACCTCGAAGAAGCGGTTAGGGTCATGCGAAACTTGAAGCAAGTCGGGCTCGAGTCAAACGCTCGTACGGTGCAAGAAATTACCAACGTGTCCAAGGTCAAGAGGAAATGGGTTGCTAAGTTAATGAGGCAGTTAGACGAGAAACCCAGCGACATTAGTGACCAACGCCTGTTCGCTAAGTCCCTGCTACGTAGATGGGAGAAGCCGGACGATCAATTGATAGGCCGTCGGTCTACACGAAGAGGTCACAGGATAAGCCACGGGCGCCATGAGCTTACGCAGCCAAGTACAGCGGTTTCTGATGCAGCCTGAGCTGAGACATACATGACTACGTGGGATAGTTTTGCGGTCCTACTTGTACTACCTAAGGCGAGGAGAAAAGGGAGAATAGACATGTCCAGGAGGAGTCTTCGCTGGAGAATGCTGGGGAAGGCTAGGGAAAGGGGGGCACTACCTATCCTCCAAGTTCAGGAAATGTTCCCTTCAGACTAATGAGGGAATTAGTCTACGAACCATATACTGTATATATATACTGGGCTATTTAGCATCGGGTCGGGGCAGCATTTCCCGGTTACACTAGACGATAGATACCCTCTCTCTATTATATTAGATCACGGGTATAGAATTAAATCCAAATTACAGTTTCCAAAGTTCCTAAGACTGTTCGGATGGTTACAGATGTATCTAACAGGTACAATATAGTGACTATTTCAGTACTACCACTGCAGACGAGACTCAGTTCAATTCTGCCTGGTTACGCAACACAACATAGAAGAGGGATTTTGCTTCGATTGTGTAGCAAGATTTCTATGTTATACATATCCACACCTTATTCACACATATATCAAGCATAACTAGCATACCTATATAAGTGTATACTATATGTCGGTCCCCAACTGTTAGTAGTTTTGTCACGGCTATCCGACCAATGCTAGAAGGTAATCCTAGAATCCCCCGGCTCAAGCAGTCTTTCTAGCTCATAGGTCACCCATATCTAAGCCGGAACAAGTATTACGATACCTGGTACTAACCCCTAGACCAGCATCCTAAGCAACCAGACGGGGGGCGCGAGACACTACCCCTCACGACATAAGACAATCAACACTCGGGAGGCAGAAAAAAACAAATCTTCATAAAATCATTCGCTATTTGAATGACAAACCCTGCTTCTTTTGCTAACTAGGCGCCCGGACGCCCTCGATGAATGCATTACAATAAGTCGCCCCCGAAGGCCCAGCTTAGGTATCTATACAGAGTAGACGTCGCAAGAAAACAAAGCAAATATCTATATGGTAATAAGCAACAAGTGCATAGCTGCGAAATCTCATCCGCCTCTTACAACATCCGGGTACTAAGTAGGTAGTTTTGTGCTAACTCATCAGGTAGGTTAGCGTATAGTTCGTGATACCGTCGCCGATGGAACTCTAGGTATTATCTAGTATAAATCTGAATAGTAATAACAGCGCTTCCCGAGTCGGTGTCTAAGGCACAGGTTTAAATCCGCCGTCGTCCCTGTCTAGCAGGAACTGGTCGATTGCGCTCTGCCAACAAATCAATGAGTATCATAGTCTGAGTTCTTAAGGGGATGCTTCCTACCCAGTCAATTGTGTTGTTGCCATTCAATACAATATCAAGCGGCGCATTATTAGCAAAGTCTAAGGAGAAATCAAAAGATGGTATTATATGATCGAACGGGGGTGACGGCGCTGGAGCTGGCTGAACATCATTGTTTAGCAAGCTAGCTAGCGAACCGTCCCGAACTTCTGGCCTTGGTGGCGGCGGCGGCGGCGGCGAGCGAGTAACTGCAGGATCCTGCATTGATACTTTCCGGAGAATGGCACCCACAACCCGGGTAGCATGCGCTGCATCCCTGGAAGTTTGCCTTCTCTCGGCCCACATCTTGTAGGACGTCCCTAGAGCCTTCAGTTTTCTCGATCGGTCCGCTGGGCTGTGAAGTTGTGAGCTAGTAACTAAAAGAATTCCTTGACTTGAGCTCACCTGCTCGGTAGATTCTCCGTAAGATCTAGACATAATATCATTGACGCAATTAAAAAGTCGTGGAGTGTCAGGGCTGAGAGCATATATTTATCCTCATATATTCGGCCACCAGGCCTGCTCTCCTCCTCATACTCGGCGTGTAGGTCAAGGATCCTAAGAGCCGCATCTCGACACGTATTCCGTGACCGATCATATGCGGGGTTGTCCTTCTCGCGATTAAGATATGGGCGGTGTAGAACGCAAAGGCTCTTGAGGTACATCAATTCCAACATAAGTCGATGCATGATGTCATAAGTCTGGTCCGTGAAGCTATATGAGCGTATTGGTTTTATTTGTAACGAAGGAGGGACGTGTTCGCGGTACTGATGGAGTTCATCATCCAGCTTGGAAACTTCTTCATATGGAGGAGGATGGATTGATAGTGCAAAGCGAATCACCCGACGTAGTAACCGGCACAGCTTTGATTTGTGACATAAATACAAAGTAGAAGTGGGCTCAGTAGCCGGTCGCGATGGAGGTAGGGTCATAACATTCTCGTCAAAGTCGGAATCAAATAGATTGCTAGGCGATTCGGTATCACACTCGTCGTCACGGATGATCGGAGGCATGCCTAGCTGAAACGAGAAAAGGACATCGAAAACCTCAATGAAGAAGAACGCTCGCCTACGGAGTTCGCCCTCGAAAGGCGTGATGTTAGAAAGATATTTCGGATCTCTATGATATCCCATACGTTGAGCAAGCCGGGCGACAAGTCCGAATTTAGCCCACAAGCTAGAGTCAATTTCCCTGTTCCTTTGCAATTCCGTATAGCTGTGTAATAGGAGTGCTTCAATGGAATAAGGTCCAGCAGATAGGTAATCCCCCGATACGAGACACTCAGTTGATAGTGCCCTAAGCTTGTCCGGGAGCGTTGCTACTGATTCATCGCTTTCGCCTCTCATGATGGTTATCGACGCAGCGACCCATAGCATAGAAGCAAGGCAGCTCAGCCACAATAAGCTGGTAGAAGACGGATCATCCCAGAAAGCATCGTACTCTCGTTGAAATTTCGTGGTATGAATGTACGGGGCAGTCATAAACTTGTGGCGGAAGTAAACTAAGATGAGCGCATCTGTCTTGGACTTGGGTGGCAATCGTGTAACAGCCTGCGAGAGAGTTATGGGTACTAACTTGCCGAAGAGAACATCCGTACTATCCGCGGTGTCCTTTAGCGGCGGGGGCGAGGGAGTAGGAGGCTCATCCGTCTCAGTTCGGAGAATGCCTTGAATATCATGAATACTCTCAAGAATTGAAGCCCAGTGAGTAGCGCCGACATAACTATGCTCGCCAAGCGTAGTAGGGAGAAGCGGACCTCCCGATCCGGACGCCGCCAAACTCGGTGGAGAGCTCAGGTCAGAGCGAGTCTCAGTGGTCTCTGTTCGCTGGTCTGAACTTGAAGGGGTATCGAGAGTAGGCTCTCGGTTGCGCGTAGTATAGACCAGGTTATTAACCATTTCCTCAAGTTTCTGGAGACGGACCTGCAGGACGGGGCGAGACATAGGCTCATGCCTGGCCCGGACATCCGCCTGCGGCCGCGAATCCGTGCGAGCCTTGCGAGAGGCACGAGGCGCATATTCGCAAAAATTGGCCTCGCCGCTTTTGACGCACCTCTCACAGGGCTGTTGGCGGTCACATTTCACCCTATCAAAGGATGATGAGCTAGAATAGTACACGGGGGACAAGGAAGTGCCACTCACTTGCGTGTCCGACATAATAGACAAGATACAGGAGGACGATTGCGCTTTTGGATCTTTCGTTGGACTCCCTCGGTCGGCTGCGCTCGAAAGACACTTGTCTGGTAGCTGCCGGGCCGAGAGTCCATCGTGCCCGGGGTAAGACCTCACGACCAGTCAATAAATTAGGTATGAGAGTCGGATTGAAACGGTCGGAAATAAAGTCTAGCTCACGGCCTCAGCGAAGTCAAAAACAGTGTAAAAGGAATACTCCCCCCTCCGCGCGGTTTCTCAAGCGAGGACTTAAGAGAATGCCTGATTGAGAAGAAGTCCGGTAGTACGGCGGGAAAAGGAAAAAAAGAAAGAAAAAAGCTACTGGCAAATACCTTCAAATGGCTCTGGATGCTGAACTAATGAAACCTTCCTTGGAGTTTCCCCGGTGCAAATGCAGACGGTTATCGGAAACAAGGGAGGAAATGCACCTGGAAACTCCGCTGTGACCATTCCTAAACAGGCAAACTCCCAGCATGTCTTGGCATTGCCCCATTAGAGCTTGCGACCGACGGAATATCCCCGGCTGGATTTAAAGATAGCTCCTTACTCTTTTTCTCTCTTCGCAAATACGGCCAAACCGGCCAAAACGCCGACCCGTTTTCCATCCCTTTGCTTTTCTTTCGGGAGTTATTTTTAAACCTAAACTCCTAAACCTTCTAAATTTCGAGAAAGGTACGGCCTTAAAATTTCATATCTTTACTTCGTACTGCCGTACGCTTAAACCCATATCCACTTATGTTTTGTCCGGTGCGCCACTTATTAACCGATGATTTCAAATTGCAACTATGACAATTTTTCTGCCAGGGCTAGGCACTCCATTCCGAGTGGCTACGGATTCAATATACAGGTACATAGATACTTCATGCTTCGCAGATTAGCGGTCCAAAACACGCCCTGGTGATTTTCCTAATGGGGTATTTCTTACCTCCCCCCAAGACGCCATCGACTGATTTTCGACGATGTCATGCAAACGCGACTAGGTACCTCATTTCGTTCAACAGTCTCAAAGCGTGTAACCTCTAAGGCAACCCAAAACAACTATCATCCCTTAAGAGGAAAATTCTAGAGCGTCGATCTTGCTTCGAATCGAACCAGATGCTTTAGGATCGAGATCTAATCTCTCATCTCGACTTATCTGGCTCCACTTACCGCCAGCATCATCCTTCCCTTTCTGTATCTTCCCTTGACAGCGGGGTCGAGACTCAGACGGAGTTGCAAGATGCTGGACCCAGAAGCCACGGTAGTTAAAACGCCTTTCCGGTAGTATTCAATCCGACAATGCTTCACCCGACAGCCCAATCCGAATTTGCCGGTCCGGCATCTCCGGTAATAATACTATTGGCCCGAAAAACCTCAACCGGTGTACAGGCAGCATGACGTACACAGCCTTAACAACCTTTTTCATGACCCGAATGAGTCCGGCGCTGGTTTTTCCACCAATGTTGAGAATATAACTCCGGTATGTACTTAGTATAAACTTGATGCTTGTGAACTAGTTAGGATTTTTGTGATGTTAAAACTTACTCGAATGCGATACTAGCTTCATGTGTCGTAACTAGATAGCTATTAGAAAAGCAATTTAGCAGCGTGGTTTTGCCCTTTAGCTTCTGTAGAATACGTAAAACTATCTAATACTCTCGTAGTAATTTGAAGATATCATTGACCTCTCAGTAACTATATTCCATAGGATGCTTACTGTTCATATTGTTGTCATTATTTGTTCTTACATGTAAGGGACTAAGCCGATATTACACTTGAATAGGTGGGTAGATGCTTTGAAATTTGACATACCTAGTCAGTCAACTAAATCCCCCACAGCGCTGTCTTTGTACCAGAAGTGACATATTGGTTATTTAATACCACCTAATCTACGCACTTAAACCCACTCTGCTAGACCTAAGAGAAATGAAATGGTTATAAATACGAACGAGGGGCGCTAAGCAAGCTCCACTCCGTTAATTAGGGCACGCTATCTCTTCAACCGGCACAGTGAGTATAAAACTTGAGATACCAAAATCTTCAACACGCATCGTATCTTCCGAGGTTTCTGATTCGAAAATTGGTTGGGGCTTGTGGTTTAGTGGTATAATACTCCCTTAGCATGGGAGTGGTCCGGGGTTCGATTCCCCGCGAGTCCAACATGAAGGGGTTAGATTCCCCTTATACCGCATCTTTTTGAATGTTCTATTATATCTCAGTTTTTTTTATAAGTTAGCTCGAGGGTGTCTGGTTCATACTGAGTACCATATCTTAACTACCTCAAAGGGTGGGCTTCATCTCCTTAGTTTTACCTCTCATCTTTAAAACTTACTCGGAGGCATTAAATAGACCATATAGTAAGCGCATGTGAAAACAATTCAAGTACGTAGACTCATAGAAGTTTAATTACAAACACCCGAGGTGGGCCAATCAACGTCAACACGTAGAGTCCAGATTCGGTATAGCCAACATCTTTCATATCTCACTGCGTTAACCTCCATTCTATGCGCTTATCATTGCTGTGTTGTCTGAGATACATATACAGCTACTGGGTAGATATTAGGTAGGTAGCTTCGGGGAATGACACCGGGCTACTCCGTAGGAAGCGGGGGAATATTCCGAACCAACAGACCCATCTGCAACCCGAACCGGTCAATCTGAGATGGCCGTCTACAACTCGCCAATCTCTTACTCAGTACTCACAGTAGTACTACCAGACATCATGTCTTCCGGTAAGCCAATTTCGATCTCCATCCAGCCCCTCAACTACGCCGACATCCCCGCCTGCGCCCGCATTACCTCATCGGCTTTCTCCGTCGACCCCCACACTATCGTAAAGCAATTAGGCCGGAAGCCTTTCGATATGTACGACATCTCCCGTTCCGGCTTCTTAGACACTCTCTACAGGAAAACGTACATCTACGTCAAAGCCGTGGATGACGAAACGGGCGAAATCGTTGGGCACGCCGGGTGGGCATTTAGGGGCTTGGATCCGGCGCTAGTCCCGTGGAATGGACCCGGAGACACGAAGCCGGCGGGGGAAGAGCGAGAGCAACGACAAACGAGGAATGACGAAACGGAAAAAAGGGACGAGGATGAGGACGCGGAGGGAAAGGAGAAAAACTCTATCGATCGTCTCCACGCCCTTGAAGACGCTGACATGCAATTCTGGCTATCTGATCTGGTCCCCTCGGACACGCCTTGCATCTTCGTTATTGGCCTTACCGTGTCACCTTCGCACCAATCCCGAGGTGTGGGTACTGCCCTGCTACGATACGGGAATGCTATCGCCGACGACCTAGGCCTCTCCACATGGGTACACTCGTCGCATCAGGCGTACGAAGCGTATAAGAAATTTGGATTCGAGACCACGAGAGAGTTAGATATAGACTTGGACGAGTATGCACCGAGGGGACCGACAGAGGGAGAAGAAGTAATGGGAAAGAAAGGGAGCGGGAAGTGGGGGAGGTATGTTATTAGGTAGTATATGAGGAGGATACCAAAGAAATCGGATGATTTAAAAAGTACATAAGGTAGGTAACCTAGGTAAATCCACGAAGTATTAAACCTCATTTTAAATCAGACCGTGGTGCGTCTAATTCATACCCCACCAATGAAATACCTCGACGTGAAACTCCACTTTCCCATTATAGCACATTAATATTTAGGAGATACGAATGAGTAGAAAGATTATTATAATTTTTAGAACTTATAATTACGATATATTAGCTTCTACTTAGACGGCCTCTTAGGGGTTATGTTCTACCGAGGTGTGATAAACCTTTGAATCATTATACCCACATCGTGCCCGCTCTCCACAGCACAAAAAATATAGTGCGTAACAAACAGAAAATTTGCACATTCGGGTTCGTGGCCTAATGGTAAGGCGTTAGATTTCGGTCCTATTTCCGGCTCTCTAAAGATTGCAGGTTCGATCCCTGCCGAGCTCGTCTCATTTCATTTTTGTTTCTTTCTTTTCTAGAATTTCTACGGGATCCTTTTTTTTTCTTCTTCTCTTTTTTCTTTTTTTCACTTCGTTCAACGGGACGCGCCTTGGATTGTGACATGACGATAGGCAGATAAATTTGGTGTCGACATTGGTTCCAATTTTAATGAGAGAATAGTAAACTTATAAAGATACTAATGCAGCCATAAAGTTATATGCATTTTGGTTGCGAGATTACAAAATTTATTCCAATGCGATGTAAAGTTCATCTAGATCATACCGTTTGCTCGTGAAATCAAATATCACTAGAATGGCAAAAAAAAAGAAAAAAAGAAAAAAAAAATATGCAAGTGGTATATACTCTGATTTCTTATTCGAAGCATCCGAAAACGAATGAGGAACCGGGAGTGATATGGGGTAATGCTCGTAAGGACATAACGCGGGTTTAGGGATGATTCAGCAGCTCATGCATAATGCGACTTCAATCCGGTATATAGTCTGTAATCATATACGTTCTCTCGTCACCCCAATACAAGTGATTGCCTATTATATAAGATAAAGGTACTGTTAAACGCGGTACGACGATGACTCCGATACCAGCAAGCCCCTCGGCCGCTCTTCGCGGAGGTCTAAGGGAAGCCCTCCGTAGTCGTCAGGAGGCTAGGAATCGCAAAAGCTGCGAACCATGTCGAGAAAGGAAAGTAAGGTGTGATAGGGGATATCCATGCGCGACGTGCAGTAAACGAGGTTATCCGGACTTGTGTGCATACCGCGAATCACGGCCACGACGCTGTAGCACGGAACACGAACTAGCAACAGCACAACTGGCTCTGGCTGATGGAATTTCTAGCGTACCTTCACCGCCTGTACAACTCGTTACAGATACAAATAGTCACCATCTTGAATTCACTAGCAATGAAAGTTCAGTCGACCCTCATCTCCCGCAAGCAACCTCACTCGCGACGGTTACTCGAGAGTCCTCTTCATATCTCATCGATCGTCCCGGTGATCGTTCGGCATTCGAGGCGGGCGTCCTACCTCTCTTGGGCATGAATGAGCATATAAGTACCAATCTGCCCATAGCACATTTTCATGGTTTCCTCAACGACTTCCTATCTGTTGAACAAGATGTTTATGCCCTGTTCCAATCTTACAAGCGCCGCGTCCACCCCTTTAACACAATCCCTATCGACCTCGGCCAGATGGAGAAGCGGCTGTGCGCTATCATCGAATTTAGGCACAATCCAGGAGCTGAAGTGGGACTGGAGGTGGATAAAGTTCCTCAATGGCTTTGCTTTATTACATGCCGTGTTGGCATCTGGAGCGCAGTTCTCTGAGATATCTCTGGAACAGCGGTCTTTATTATCACGGGAACATAGTAGGTACAGATAGAGGTGGTGTTCTACATCCAAAGTGCTAACGTTAACAAGCAAAACTCGCATTTGAGCTACTCAGGAGGACCGATTACCTTGCTCGGCCCTCCAAAGAGGCAATTCAAGCGCTATTACTACTAGGTAATATACTTCAAGATGAATTTAAACCCCAAGCAGCGTGGGCTCTTGTGGGTGCAACGATACGACTTGCACGAAGTCTATCTATTCATATACGACAATCCAGATCTAGTTCATCAACCGTGACTTTGGAAGATGCGATGCTTTTGCGGTATGTCTTAACAAGTTCCCAACCTTATACCTACCTGTTAAGTCGTTGATCCGACTAGACTTGCCATTGTGCGGCAGGAAGCATTGCTCTCTATGGCTCTTGGACATCACCCGTCGTGCAGTGATATGAGTGAAGAAGATCTGCCTATTCTTACTCCCGGCAACGATGGTGAAGGCTTGACGTATCGACAAGCTATGAGCTGGCTTTGCCATCTTGGGATACAGCACCTAGAGTCTCGGAAAAGCACGACACCATCTACCCCACTGCTTACTTTGAACAAGATTGACTGTATTGACCTTTCCGTTTCTCCGCATCTGAAAGACCGACATTTCTGTAGCTCTGCACAGGATGTTGACATGACGTACGGTCTCATCAGTTAGTCTCCCCGGGGTAGAAATTGGCAAAATGGCGTCTTTACGGTGCGTGATCATGTTGATGGTATACTTGGCCCACTGCTGCACTTCTTCGCGGAAGAGATACCTTTTGGATAGTCATTTAGTATTCTTCGCTACTTCATAATAGGGGGATATGAATATCTCAACTTACCCGTACATCTCGCCGAAGGGGCCTTCAGGCGCTGTCTCCGTGGCCGAGATAGTCCCCTCGAAAACGATCTCGGAGTTTGCAGGGACATAGAGGTCGTTGGTTTCGCACTTGACAACTTCCACAGGGGCACTGACGAGCGAGCCGACGTACTCGGCCTCGGACACGCCATCTGGTAAGGGCATACTTGCGGCCATGATGGCGGCGGGCGGAACGCCGAACGCAATCGCTACGGGCATGTCTTTCCCTAGCTTCCGCCACATAGCGAGGATCTTGCCGATGTGCTGGGTTGGCAATACGGCTCCAGCCAGGTGATTCCTGTCGTGCACCACTATGGCCACAGAAGTCAGCGATTATGTATCATCGAATAGAACTCTCAATGGCGGTATATACTAACTAGCACGTGCGATCGCCCAGTTAGTCCAACTACCATCTGGAGACTGGAAACACTGCATGCCGTACGTCTGGACGTATTTTCTGCCATCGGACTGGTGCAGAAGGGGGCACGGCAGCGTTTCTAGGTCGAAATGATCGGGCGTAAGGCGAAACTCCTTGCAGGGACCGGACTTAACGACCTTCGGGGGGATAGGCGCGGCGCTCTTGGCCGCGATGACCTTGTCCATTATCTGCTTGGCGGATGCTGTAGGGTCCAAGCCAATGTGTCTAGCCACGCGGCCAAACACCTGCTCTGTGTTTGGCCTTAGCCCGTTCACAGCTCCCAGGATGCGCCAGAGACCGTTCTCGTTCTGGCCCTTGAGATTGTTGAATAAGGGCGCTCGCTCCTGGTCTACGAGGGCCTTCCGGGTGATGGCGCCGACTTCGAGGTGCGGATCACATTCCGTGTTGATCTCGACGATATCACCGTCGTCTTTGAGCGCCTGGACATACGACCGGAAGCTCAAGTGGGGGAGGTCCTGCTGGTTGATAGAAGTTGTCGGAGTGGAGGATGCCATTTTCTCTTCTGATACTGGGTGGAAAACTGAAAGTTACTTATACTATTGTTCAAGGGGGTTTATGCTGATGGTTCGGATTGATATTGCCAGCGAGGATCAGGAATTCATCAGTATTATTTATATTTACCCGAAACAAGGCCTTTGCGTCGATAATATCATGTCTCCGGGGTGCGGCCCCCTAATCCGAGGCCCCCGAAGGCTCCGAGCCATGCCGAGTCTGACGATCCGGATTAGTTCGGGGGCTAGAATAAACGAAATATGGTAGGATTGGTAAGGTATACTGATAGATATCGGTAGAGAAAAGCATATTTCTTAGTCCATTTCGCTCACGACATCTCTTGAACTAGGTATGACCTACCCGTTTTCCCAGGCCCCGAACCGTACTGAGGCGCTCCGTTAGCTAAGATAGGGGATGGTATGGAGATTATGAATTCAAAGACCTTGAGGTATTTATTTATCGGTAAAGATTCGGTACTAATTGAAACTGGGCAACGTGGAAAGTTCTACTTCGACTTATTCCAGTTGACTCAATTCACAACTCGCCTACCGTTGGCTACTGGTCGCATTCTACACCCGCAAGTCACATCACGATGGGGGACTCTGTTCCAGAACATAGGAAGAGAATAATTATCGCCATCACGGGGGCTACGGGAGCAGATATTGGTATCAGACTCTTACAGACACTGCGCCGGCTCAATGTCGAGACACATGTTATCATCAGCAAGTGGGCGAGCGAGACGATCAAATGGGAAACGGATTACACGGTAGCGGCAGTACGAGCACTAGCGGACCACGCATACAGGTAACAAACACCTTCTCACAATATCTCTACATAACCCAGGAAACCACCCCTTTTCCCGGCCTCTTTACTAACCCCTCGGATTACAACACCAGTCCACATGACCTCGCAGCCCCGATCTACAGCGGCTCCTATCACATCGACGGGATGATCGTAGCACCTTGCTCGATGCGGACGCTCGCCGCCATCAACGCGGGTATATGTGACGACCTCATCACACGCGCAGCGGACCTCTGCCTTAAGGAGCGGCGCCGCCTTGTCCTCGCCGTCCGCGAGACCCCGTTTAGCGAGATCCATCTGCGGAACATGCTGGGCGTCACCAGCGCGGGGGCTATCGTCGCACCGCCTGTCGTCGGGTTTTACACGCGGCCGTCGTCTGTAGAACAGGTCGTAGGGCAGATGACGGGGCGGTTGCTAGATTTGTTCGGGCTGGATGCGAAGGACTTCGCTAGGTGGGAGGGTATGCGTAAGGGGAGTTGAGGGACTGTTTGTTTAAGTGCGGTATGGGATCTCCAAGGTCCAATGCTAGATACTGTTATTGGGAGCTGGAATGAAGATGTAGTTGTACAATGGAAGTTTTATTTATGTCATTATTGCTCTAATACTGTCCTTATTGTTCTATTTGCTAAGAATGAAGTTCTATGCTAATCTGTCAAACTCAACAAACACTATAGTACATCTTTTCATTCTTAGGGAGATTGTAGATGAGACCATATCGAGAGGTATATTTAAATTTTATTTGGTTCTAATAGTAAACTTACCACCTTTTCCATATTAGCTACCTGTTATAGTAATGGGAGCTTACAACTTTAAAGACATCAATGAGGAGAGTCCTTCTTATTGTTATACCCTATTGATATCCCCTATTTTATACATAACCAGGAGCTAGCTGAGTTAGGGAACTTATCACGAGACTATCCTAAGACTTCTCGGAAACGGAATGGTCACATGTATGTATACCGGTGACCCTGAGTTGAGTACCTAGGTTTGTGGTTATTTGCGTAATCTAGTCAATTTCTTATCACCAGGTCACACCGTGATGCTCTGTCACTAATAATAGAAGGGATGAAACTGCTTGTATGCCGAGATAGCCTCTCTATTCCCCGGACAATATTTACTTCCCACTTCCACGTATATTAATAGCATTGGGCATCGACGATACGGAACGTTAAAAGGGGCCAAACTCCGAGTATTGTGCGCTTCACTAGGAATATCCGGGATGTTATGCGATACTACCCAAGCTACTTCCTGTAATTTGGCAGCCGGTAAGTTCGGTTCGATTATAGACGAATCAAGCTATGGTCCCCTTTATGGATGGGCTCTCGGCGCTTGGCGAATCGAATCGAGCGATTTCGAAGCATAGGAAACGACGCTGGCAGCGAGCTAGGCACGACCCGGATCACTAGATTATAAATCAGGTTATACTGAAGACTATCATTATCCCCATCAAGATATTAGAAGCCAGAGACATCTGCTGGATTCTCCACATCTTCCAACTGATCTGCGGTAATGCCTCTGATGTGCCTGGAGGCCTTATTACACTTGGTGAGTCATTTAGAATATAATTGCCTCTCAAAGACTATAGTGCGTGGTTCTTTCAGTGCCGCGAGTGAGTCATCTCTAGTCTATATCGCGCTTATAGGGCTATATAACTACCTTGTAGTGATATTTAGTTTCATTTGAGATCCATAGGAGACTAAAGCAACCTTGCTCTTGCGGAGTAGTGTCAAGGACGATAGGCAGCATCTTCGACCGCCTGTGGGTAAGTAGGATACAAAGGGGAAATGCCGTTTGGATGAATCTGAAACAGCATAGATTGATAGCGGAAAGTAACCGCCAATGGATAGGCGGTGAGTTGAGGAGAACCACTTCTCATTGGAGGGAAACAGATATGCGAGTGAAACAAGATGGCAAGTTGGAAGTGCTCGGCTTAAAGTCAATATTCTCTAGTTGAGCGCGCTTAAGATTAGGTAGTTATGGGCTAAGGGGAACTACGTTGTATATCGTTGTGTAAAAACTAGGGAAGCTCGGGATTTTCATTTTAGGAGGTGACGTCTAATTAACACTTGCAGCCCCCGAGCGGCTGCAGATTGAGGCTATCTCTTAATTTAGTAACAACCTCCAAAAATAAACGCCCCAGATCCCTCGTAGATATGTCACGGGCGGTAGGTAAGGCTGGGCCGCAAGGGGGCGTAGAGAGTCCTGAAGCTTGGCTCTGCCCTGTACCGTTAGGTGCACTAATAGGGGGGATGTGATAACGACATACACACATGCATATACCTCTGGCGGTTGGTAGTCTTGCGTACAGCTTGCCAGCACTTTAGTACACAGAGTGAGCGTCTTGAGCCTCTTGCCCCTGAGTCTACTTGCTATGAACGACAATGATGATGGAAAACTGGCGAATTAGGGGCAAGCCGGTGGTCTGCAGGCGCTTCTGGAAGCTAGCTGGTATGCAAGATGACGACCCGTAGGCGCTTCTCGCAGCGGTGGGGGTACCGCCGTCGAGTGTTCCTGTACATGGCGGCGAAACGCCCACGCATTTGGCTTTCCCCAGACTGCGGGTACCCAACCAGACGAAGATAGCCTGGTTATAGGGTAGTAGTGTCGCCTTGGTGCCTTGCAGGGAGGATCATGACGGCGGCAGGCGGGAGGTATGACAGGCAGATTTTCCGCAAGTGATCTAGGACAAAAATAGCAGACAGAGGTGCGTGGGATGCAAAGAAGCATCACCACGACATTGAATTACGCTCATGCGCGGAGGAAATTTTCTCGAACGCATATATTTCAGCGTATTCTTGAGCGACAAGCTATACCCTACACCGTGATGTCTAGGCGCTTAGATGTTTTAGCCAGTGGGCGGCTATGCGAGACTGGCTGCCTCTTATTGGATAAATGAGCGGGCGGTAAAGTAAACTATTTCTGATTTGAGGATGATACTTTAGAGACAGGGTATTTTTGGGATTACTTACTTGTAATTCTTACACTTGCAGAAGACAAAAGAAGACAATGCCGTTCCAGTGCCCTGGCTGTGGCATTCCTTTTTAAGCCTGACATATTTTCGCGGGGATATGATGAGGCTTAAAGATTGGCTGTTGTTTTTTATGCAGTAACTAGTTACTTGTTGTTTATTGTTTAGGTCGGCCGTTGAAGCGGCCTGGAATTTAGCACACCTAAAATGCTATTGGGTATAGCGCCTACTTGTCATGTGACTGTTACCATAGACGCATTACCTAGCGTACCTAGCGTAGTAATTCCGCATTTGCGTTGTATTGAAGTTACGACTGTGCTGGGTACGCGGTTACCAGGTAGGTACTTACTAGTTTGGTACGAAACAGGGAAGTACTGATGGGTCTTTTACAACTGAAGGCACATTGATCTCCCTAAAGTCGGATTTAAACAATTTAAACACATTGAAGCAATGCACAGTATGCACATATCTAACAATAGGTTAAGCTAATACACGTGTACCTGACAAGGAGTCTTTCCATGTCACATCTACCAACGCCAGCCATGAGAACCATGAGAACCTGGCTGAGGGCTAGTCGCACTACGCATCCACCAACATCAATTGTTCGCAGTGCTGCACCAACATCAACTATGTATCCTTGTGCTACCCATTTATCATCTCGGGCTATCTCGAAAGCCACCATCGCCACGGTACATATATACGTATTGTACAAGTATGCATGTGCAGCAATCTTCCCTCCTCGACAACGTGGCCAAGCTCGTGACTTGTCACATTGCCTGGCTGCTGGTAACAAATTATTACCCAAAAAAAAGGAATTTGCGCCGAATTAGCGACGATAAAAACATGTTGGTTTTGTGGTACATGCACGTTTCCTACGGCATTATTATGTATTCTCTATGTATTCTTCTTCCTGGATCATCCACATGGGCTTCTAGGTATTTATTTACACACAGCTTCCTACTAACAGGCCACTATTAACAGGTCATTACTAACTATCAACTGATTACTAACATTTAACCAACCGGCCGGAACTATTTTAGTTTTAATGTTTTCCGATTCGACCATCTCCTTGTATGGCAAGCCACAATATGTATCACTCATATGTTCCACGGTTTGCTTGAGTTTCGGTCTGTCGTCTTTACGTCACCTACTATGCCTAGTATTGTCAAAGCGCAGTCGGTCTCCGGGGCGTACCTCGCGCTTATTATTATATGACGGCCGGCTGTTGGACGTGGTCCCGCGGTCTTACAGTAATAAAAGCCTAGCAGGGGTGCTAACGGACCTTTTCCAGCTTTTACTGCGGCGCCGTGTTCATAGCTTTTATCTTCTTCTGGTGTGGTATGATATTGTTCCAGGTAGCCCGCATCATTTGAGTCTCACAAGGTCCGGCCTAAGCAATAGTTAAATCGAACAAGACGTCAACCATCAAACATTTTGATACTGCCACCTACTCTACGGTGCTTATTATTACTCAACGGCCCGAAACCTGATGGCAACTAGGTGAGGCGTGTTTCTACTTTGGATCCAATAGGGATTATTCCACTTCACATTCATATTTGGAAGGCTGGTAGCCCCCAACATCTGTCTCAATTTGATAGACCGAAGGTTCTGTTAATGCCGTACCACTTTGTGCCACGTTAACATTACGGATTGATGAGGGGCTACGAGCAGCCAGAAATATAGGAAGAGGATGCAGATCTCAGGGAGCCACCGACGAAGAACTCTGTTAACTTCGGCCTCACTAGAGACCTATAAGCGACCTCGCCGTCAGCCTGGCACAGCATTAAACAATCTCACCTCCGCTTTCTAGTATTAGCGTCATGAGGGGTAGCAACAAACCTTATCACAGGTCGATACAAGGAGACCAGGACACGGCAATGCTATGTATGTACAATAGCCGCATGAAAAACCCCTTCTTGTTTTCATGCACAGGCCTTGACCACAATACCGAAAGCTTCTTGTGCCCTACTAGGCTTCCCAAGCGGGTCGTAGCTAGAACCCAAGAATGTTCCGCCGATTTCTAAGAAAAGAAACCTGGGCCAGCAGATGGGTTTTATGCGCGGACGCGGTTGATCGATTGTCTCGTCCGATGTTTGGCTTTCTCTGTTGTAAGCTAACCAACTAGAAGCTATTGGCTTCTGACCAATGAGCAACGGTAAGCCGCTTATGGATCGATCACCTTCCCGAACGGCGGCAAACGCATCCGAGGAACAAGGTCTCGATGATTCGCGACAAGCGCTTTGCGCTCGCCCCACAGAGCGTGCTACAGTGAGATAATTCAGAAACGCCTGCGGAGAATTAAGTAAAAGGAAACCCCAGGATTACGACCATCATGGCCCTCTAAGGAATTATCCAAATGTTTGGTGAGTAGCTAAGAACAGCACAACTTTGGTACCCAAGGTTATAATATCGTCTCCAGATTTAGTAACAGGTCCATTTAATGTTAAAGCTAAAAGGGTTTAACATTTGTGAGAATTCTTTATTACATCGCGTAGGTAGGTGCCTTCGGACGAAAGCAAATTGATGCTGGCTATGCTGGCTATGTGTCAGACGCCGAGGGCAGGATGGTCCCGTGCGTGCCGTGCGTACCGTACGCGACGGGCTCTCGAGTCACGGCTCGAAGGGTGCTATCCGGCCGGCAGGGTGCATGGCCAATATACTATATTCGAAAATGGAAAAGGTTCCGGAGCTAAGCAGGTCAGCACGTGCAGCGCCCGGATCGATTACGTTGCAACAAGATCCAGGGGAAGGACCAGCGGTAATAACAGCATTGACATTATGATCCCTCTCTGGTTCTTTGTTTGCTTGGTGAAGGATTCATGTAGCCCTATTACTCCCCATTACTCCTTTCTTGACCGAGGAACAGCCCGATATAAGATGATGACTTACGTAGCTACGTCAGCAAAGCGGTCGTGTTGCAGAGTAGCACCGCCGTATTCGGCTCAGTATCAACAGCGTTCTTGTGACCGGGGCCGGAGGCCTGCTGTATTAGCGGCCTCTCCATGCCTTGGTTTAAGTTTCAACTCTCGGAGTCAAAGATCGATGTAACTCGCAAGCTGATACGAGACATTTGTGACGACGGGGTGAGCACATGCGTTAGCAGCAAATCAACAACCTCTCGTCGGCTCTAGACGCGGGTATTCGCTGCGTCCTAAAAAGAGCCCTGGGCATTTTCGACATCACACGCCCGCGCCAAATTGCATGACAGCTGCATCCCTGTCTAAAGGCACCTATTGGCTACGGTCAGAGTACATACAACCAGACTCGCAAACTCCTCTGACCACACCTGCCGGCAATGCTCCAGGGTCGACCTTTTCTGGTTGGAAGTAGTGCTGCCGCGACAAGAATTGGCAGAATTCCAAGACCCAAAGCGGGAATTGACGGTTGCACCTCTTGCTGTGCCGCTCGCGCACTTCTACAAGATCGAGGTCCCTTTCAAACTACTTAGATCCTCCCAATCGCACATCGTCTTCTACATCCTGGCCAGATTTACCAAACCCGCTAACACCTGCGTGTGCTATTTTGATCTCTTACCTAGCGGCGGCTTGAAATGTCGTGGGTTAGGAGAATTAGGCCAAGGGTTTGTAGGGCTGCGGCTAGGCCTCAAGAAGCGGCCTTTATTGATTCATCAATGCTTTTTATTCCCATATCACATCAAGGTGCTAGTGACATCTGAAGATGGCCACAACGATAGACTTGTCGCGGACCGAAAGTGCTGCACCTATCATAGCCTACCCAGGTAGCTTTGAGGCGAGACGTGACAAATACTGTAGTGAATGGCATAGCCCAATGGCACTTTTTGAGAAACCCTGGTGCAACGTTAAAAGGGGGGCCGTTGGTGGTAATAAGAGGAGTTCATCGCCGTTGGGGTTAGATCAGGTACACGCCTCTATTCGTCGTATTTGATACGTATTCGATGATGAATGCTCCTGCGGCAGTGCTACCGGTTCAGATTCGGTAACATCGCATGGAGAACGGCGGGAGACATAAGACTGATTACCAGACTACGTACATATCTTTAACCAAGGTAAGGATGAAAGAAGCTACAAGAGCTTAACACTACCTACGTACAACAACATCTCGGCTCTAACGCGCGGGACTTGGCCCCGTACAATCTTGAAAAAGAGGAGTATACAATTTCGTTCTCTATTTAGATGTTTTAAGTTGGCATTTAATGCTTCAAGAGGTAGTATATGTATTTGTATCCAAGATATGCTAGGACTACTAGGTACCTGTAAGATCCACCGTGGCTAGCATAGCGGAGGTACAATAACTACATTAGCGCGCCAGTATGGGATCAGGACATGATCTCAGGGATAATCTCGACGATTTGAAATGATTTCAATTACGTGAACAGCTTTTGACGATCCTATAAATGAGTAATGTTGTTGATAAGATCCTCATGCGAATTGGTGATTCTTTTGAATTGGACACGATTATGGAAAATTACATCGTATTCAAAAGGACAAGGTCACGAAGTTCCGAGATTGTATGTAAAATACAAGGGTTTTAAGAAATAAGATACTTACTTTTTTGGGATAGTCACGTACCTCCGACATGATCCCGGAGATCATTTTAAAATCTCGAAATCATGTCGGTATAAGGATATATGTATTTAGTAAAAAGACAAAAAATATGTAAGCGCATATATTTATTTAAACACAGTACCATATTATTATTACGAATAGTTGAAAATAAACATCACAGGTGAGGCTCGAATTACAGACTTACAAGTACGATTACAATTACAATTACAATTACAATTACGATTACAAGTCTACGTGCCTTACGATTGAGCTAAGTCTTACGATTGAGCTAAGTTTTACGTTGCTATGATTTTACGGGAAACAATAGCTGGCTTGTTGTTGCAGTATATAAGGCCGCAATAAGGGGAGGCAGGTGCAATTCGAGGTAGGTATAATAAGTCATACTTACGAATAGGTCGTACTTACCTGGGCCAAAATCATCCCCGAGATCGTTTTGAAAGGCTAAAATGATCTTGGAAGGCTAAAATGATCTTGGAAGGCTGAGATTATCTTGAAAGGCTAAAATCATACAAATTCAACATGATCTCTATGACTATTTCAAATATGAGGCTATTTTCATTAAACATCGTCACGGAGACTCGAGATGATTCGATATGCAATATTATCCTGGTGACAATGTCGGGATATTGTAATAATATTCAAAATTTTAAAATAATCTTATAAGGTGACATAATCCCTAAGATCATGTCCCCCTCCCACCCTGGCGCGGTAATGTACGTGAATTACATGTATGTACCTAACTAACCTAATGGACCTAAGGTATACATATACATCGGTACTACTGGTACTACACAGAACGTGCAGATACCCTTGCTTAGTAGCCGACGTTCCTCGACTCGCTTCCAGGTTCTTTCTGAGGTTCTTTCTGATGGGACGTTCGTTTCGCGCAGACATACCTCACCACTTATGTAGGTACGCATAAATCCTTGGAAAAAGCTAAGGTACCTCGGCGCTTTGTACAGTATCTCTCCTTCAACCTTTAGCCTTGGTCACCAAGCGCCATGCCGCCCAATACGTACATTAACTGGAGCAGCTAGCCACATGTGCAGGGTTTGTCGATCTCGTCCGCGGTACAAAAGTATCGAGGCATCCCGCGGAGGACATGGAGCTCACGGTCAATTCTTTTTTTGGGAATGCACTTTTTGTTTTGCCCTGAAAAGTTGCAGTATTGAAACTACATAAGTATACCTACCTTACATATACATGCATACTTCGTATATCCATGTACCAATTGCTAGCTACATCAACCTAACGCAACGTTAATTGCTTGCATTCGCTCCTTTCCATCTTTCCTATTCGCGCTCGCTTACCTAGGTACTTACCTAACACCTAACACTCACCTACTACTGTATTATTTTCCTTCGTATTTTTATTTGTATTGATTATACGATACATGCATATATTAGGTACATACTACGATACAACGCAACTACAAATACGAATACTTCTACGTACCTACTATATCTGATCAAGAGAGGGTACTGGCTCGCCCCGGCTACCTGCCCTATCCACCGACGTACCTTAGGTACCTTACCCTCTACATCCTTACCTGCCTACCTCCTACCCGTCCTACTCTATCTACCTATCCTTGCCTTACATCAACCATCAACTTCCCGCTCCGCCTGGGTTTTGCTGCTGGCTAGCCACATATTTTTTTTTCCCTTTATATTTTCTTATATTCCCCCCCTACCGCTGCCAACTACTACGTGCTACCTTGATTACTATTACTCAATTGCACTATTGCAAATCAATTTTACTTACCTTCTCTTTCCCCTCCGTTCATTTTAGGCTCTTCCGTGGTACTCTCTGATCGCAGTTAGAAGGGAGGCGAAGAGGGGCTGTCTACGTTGACACCTACCCCTAACGTTGGTGAAGGGAGTAGAGCGAGAGGCATCCGGAAGCCATTCATTCCCGCAGGCGCAGCAGGGCAAAGAGTTAATCGCGCGTCAAATCGCCAAGCGCTGGCTGGTCCTTTTTTTCTTGTACGCATTAAATAAGGGTCAAGGATCCCAACACGAGGAACGAGTGGGAAGCCGAGAATTTCATTATAGTTGGTTCGAATTCGACAAGTTGCATCGTGGGCCGGACCTCACGAGAAAATAGTCTAGAGTTTTTCCACGCGGTCCAGAACCCCAGATAGCTATACTCGGCCCAACTATCACTAACAAAAAAGAATTGACGTTCCCTGGATAGGAATCCCCTTAGCAGCGCAGACCAACGTGCAGTCTTTTAGGCGCAGCAGCCTGCGAGCTTGCCTGCTGCTTACACCGCAACACGGCACTACGCAACGTACCGCATCAGCCCTTGCAAATCACCGTCGTATTACGCTGCCGGATTCGATAAGAACGAGGTGCGGCTGGCTCAATCCCGCTCGCTTGCACAAAATTGCCTCCCCGCGCACTCTCTTTTGAAGTTCATCGCAGTCAAAACCTAGAGTTTTTGCAGATCACCCATTGTTCAGCTCCACGACGCGCGCATCGATTAGGGATCTGAATTCTGTCGAATTAAGGCCTTTATATTGACTCCTCTCAAAGCACTCGCCTTCAGGAATCTTGATTCGAAAGTTCTGCTAGATCATAACGCGATTGCTGTGTGCACCATCGTCCCCGGCGGTTTTGTTTACGGCTTCGTTCGCCTATTTTCCCTCTGGCATTTTTTCTAGGTTTCCTACTGGACTTTTCAACCAGGCCATACGTCAATCAAGGCTGCATATTTCGGCTACGACCCGAACCGTGCCGTCGATTATTAGTTAGGAGTTCTCAATCAAAGGGCACCTGCATCAGATTTACTAGATCTTAAATGCAGATCCGGCTGGTTAAAGGGTTTCATCGTACAGTAACTGTCGCTCACTAATATACGTCTGGATCATCGAATTCCTATGCACCTCACGCAAGGCAGTTGGGCTGAAGATATTGTTGGACGAACTATGGCGACCTTTACGGCTTTAAACGGAGGTGAGCAAAAAGGTGCTGAGAGGCCTGGAAGCAGCCCTACCTCAATACGCGCAGCCTCCGAGGAACAACCTATTCGCCAAATAACTACCCAGGAACCCAAAGTCGGAGAAACCCCTACGAGCCAAAGAGAGCACTGGTCAGGGCTAGGTCACGAACGGTCATCTTATCAACCTACTAATTATCCCGATGCTGAAGGCGCGCACAAGCGCAAACGCTCAATCTCGGATGAGCCGCGTAGAGAAGGACTAATTGCTCGAGAGCGGGAACAGCCATCTCAAGTAGAGTCACGTGAATCATATTCAACTCCGCAGAGAGAGCGCGAGTACAGGCAGTATGGCGAAGAGAGTCGAGAGCACCACGAATCTTGGTATCCGCGGCAAGGGCACGCTGATGAACGCAGCGCATACGACCGGCAAAGTTCCGCAGGCATGGCTCCCTCGCCAACCGATGAGCAGCTCGGCGAGACACTTCGAAGAGGAACTTCCCATATGGAATCCCAGCATGATTACGCAGCGACGAGCCCCGACGGTGACGACAGTTCTGTACTCTATGGCAGTAGCTCTTACAGTCAGGAACAGAGAAAAGGAGATGCTGTGATTCAGTCTGACCCCAAGAAGAGGAAGCGCAATTTCAGTAACCGGACCAAGACTGGGTAACTAGGACCCCATCATTCCGCCCGTTTTACGCATTGCATCCAGGACCCCGTTGCTGACTTTTAGGTATGGCGGCCGGCTCCGCGTCCTCTTACGTGTTGTAGGTGCCTAGGCACCTCGGCACTTAAGGACGAGGTATCGGCTCTCCGTACCAAAATTTATAGCTGCCTAACTTGTCGGAAGAGAAAGAAGAAGTGCGATGAAACAAAACCGCAATGTGAGCCTTCCCCTGGATGAAACCAAATCCTCATTTACTTATGGGTTGAACAGGTACCAACTGCGTCCGAGGCGGTTTTGTATGCCACGGATACCCCAACCAGCGAGGTTACCCGAAAATGGAGAACAAGCCCGCCGCTGTTCCGCTCGAATCTAAGGACCCTAGCTATGTGCCTCCAGGTGCCTACGGAATGCCTCAGCAGAGTAGTTACCCGATTGCACCCCCACCGCCTCCAAAGCGTGATCAACCAGCTCAGGCCTACCGCGGTCAACCGCTCCGGATAGAACCGGTGCAGGGCCGGCCGATTCTGGCAGACGATAGCCGGCAAATTGTTTCCGCTACCCTTCCTACACCCACTCCATCTGCTACAAGCCCGGAAAACAACAAACTTTCTTCGATATCATATACCAACCCAGGAACTATGTTTCCTACCCCGATAAGCGCTACGAGCAGTACTATGCAGTTGCCAACGCCGTTAAGCAGTGTTGACCGGCACAAAGACTACCAGAGGGTACCACCATTACACGATCTTACCCGTACTGAGCACGACACTTCGCATTCGAACTCGCTCCCGCAGATTAATATTCTCCCGCCAACAAGAAGCAGCAGCCCACCAACTCAAAGTCATCAAAGTCAACCTGCGCCACCGCCACCACCACCTCCTCCACCTCCATCAGCAACCGCAACTGACCCTCAAGAAGCAGCACGTCTCGCCTTGTCGCAACACTTGCCTCCTGAGCGGGAGAGGACGCAGAAGGAAGAGATGCTCACAGGAAATCAATACTATCCGTTTGACGAAGAATTGGTACTAGAGAGGCAAAGATGTAGCGCCGCATGTTTTAGGTTTAACAATTCCACCAACCCGAGTGTTGGAGTCTCAGCATCCGAGCGTTCTCGGCTTTTCCGAGAAATTCTACACCCGACAGAGCCTATCTTCATGAGCCCGCAGTTACAATCGTCTATTACAAATGTTGGTAGCGTTGGGCAAGAGGTGGTTGTCGAGGCGCCGTTTACCTGTGATTATGGCTACAACATTGCTATCGGAAATAATGTCTTTATTGGTCGGAATTGCACCATTATCGATCCTATGGAGATCATCATTGGCAATAACTGTTACATCGGACCGAACGTCAGCCTCTTTGGCGGCACCCTGCATACCGACCCCAAGAAACGCAAAGGCAGTAAAAGCCCCCACATCGGTTCGCCTATTTACGTCGACGAGGATGTGTGGATCGGAGGCGGCGCCATAATCCTTCTTGGTCTTAGGATCGGGAAGGGAGCAACGATCGCTGCCGGCGCAGTGGTCACCAAGGTGAGTTTTTGTTTGGTAACCCCATTAATACTATAGACACGGTACTGATGAAAGCTTAGGATGTACCTCCGTTTACGGTCGTTGCAGGCAATCCTGCTCGGGTAACGCGCGGTGCTATTAGCTGACAGGGCACGATGGATTATGTTTATGCTCATCACTCATAGTTTCTTAATATTGGCTACGATATCTGAATTTATCGATTGCTATTTATACAAGCGCTTCTCGTCGCTTCCGCCACTCGCGCCGTCTTCACGTACAGATAGACACGAGAATTTCCGCACAGCATACGATGGGTGGTTCTGCAACGGTAGAACCTAAAACTCGGTTGTAGCTTCCCTCCGTAGAAGCAGATGAGATATCGGCAGCAATTTACGGGGACGACGACGCATTTATTATATATACGATGGATTGGGGCACATCTGATAGAAGAATACCAAGTAGCTCTGGCAGCTATATGGCAGATTTAGGTGTTGGGAGCAAGCCCATTCCTTTTTTCTTCTCCGTTTCTAGGGGTGCATATATACGGATTTCACGAATCCCCTACCGTCATATATCTTGGACTGTTTTTTGGAGAGGACAGGAACTGGCTTCACTAACGAGATCACGGCCGTCATATACGCATGGTGTTTTACGAAGGCAGGCCAAAGTTGCGCCCTTACGCGAAGACGATGATTTCGACGAAAAGAGAAAGAGATACGGCACTATAGAAAGATCTATGTTAAAGATACCCGGTTTATGGTTTGTCGGTCGCGATTTTTGACTTAGGACTGTGCACGAAGGATGTAGCTGCTGTACTTGTATATTATATTGTTAGGGGAATTGATACTTTGTTTAAGCATCTAATATTTGATTTTCCTGAACTGATGCTTAGTGAGATATAATGAGTTGGGGGTTAGAGAATAGCAGAAGTCAGATGTGATGCGTAAATGTATATGCAGGATCAAGGTAATATTATAAGATGTACGATACGATCCGAACCAGAGACGTGTTACTCCATTTGCCCCTGACGAATGATGTGTAAACGAGCGAGCATAGGCTATTCTGTTTTTTATGGGAATGGTCTCCTTAGTATTGTATCGGGTCGAGTATATTCCTCCGGTGGGATTTTAACGACATTGGACGTTTTGAGTAAAACGTAGCTTACTCGGGTATTAGATAGCAAAGAGTACCTAAGCAAGCAAGCATATAAATTCTTTAACATGATATTAAAAAGCGTACCTAACCTAATGCATTGTCGTATTGACTAAGACCTACCTAGACTTACTTGTATATTTCCGTGGTGCCAGCTACTAATTTCAGTAGGTAGGTAGGTAGGTAGGTACCTAGGTAGCTTGTATGTATGAATAGGTAGGTACACGATATAAATAACTATGTAAATGAATCGAAATGGAGATCGCTCAAAGGGTAGCCCTTTTACTTTGCTACTTCATGTCTGCTTCTGAAGACTACCTAGGTACCTAATAACTATAGTCTTGTATAGGTATGTATAACTCTTATAGAACAACCATGTACTCGCCTCCGTACCGACGCATAGATACTATATATCGATAAATCAGACAAACCAATAGCCTATAGAGAGGTCCTGCCCCTTTTCTCTCATGGTTATCCGTGATATTAGCCTACACTATCAAACCTATAAGAGAACACTTTTACAAGGGTCCAATAACGTTGACAAGGAATTGTGAAAAGAATGATTATCACCTTCTATCTCCTTTCTATTACTTAAATCATTCCATACTACAAGGTCATTAACACAAAGATCCGTACTCAAATCTTCAACATGACCATTCATTATTCATTATCAACTTTGTAGGCCGGCTAACCAGCTCCGAGCTAACAGACTACAACATCAACAGGCTTAACAAGCAAGTTATAAGCACACAGCTTATAAGTAATTAATCGGCACCAATCACTTCATCTCATATCATCGTCGAACCGTAAAGATGGGGGTGATAAAAGGCATACGGCATTCTCAGCCCTATGCGTAAGTATGTTATGTTAATGTTAACTTATCTTACTATCGTAACCTCATCCGGCTTGCCCTGATGCCAATTCATCGTGTCGGCCTACCCAGTCGTAGGTAATCGTAGTCAGCCGTATCACTAGGTATTCTCTTCCTCGTACCTCATCCCAGCTTACTCTCACACTTCATACGGCCCTACTTCTTCTGCCTCTTGGCGCTCTTGTCGCTGCTGGCGCTCAGCACGCTGGCACTTCTCTTATGCCCATTGCTGCTGCTCCCTGGTCGTAGCCCCTTACCCTCAATCCTGCTCTCCGTATCATCTGCATTCGCGGTCCCACCACTGTCGCCGTTAACGTCTCCGTTCGTTGCGATATTAGTCGCAGATGCCTCGCCATTAGTCTTCCCAGCAGCATCTCCGTCAACCGCGGTATCTTCTTTCTTATCCTCGTCATTCATCGTAGCGGTACCCTCCGACTCTCTAGATTTACCTTCATTCTCTGGCTGTGAAGGGGCCAGTGCTTTCTCACGCTCAGCCTTCTTAGCTTTCTCGAGCTTAATCTCGGCATCAATCTTGTCGTTCATCTTTCGCATGTCTAGGAGCACGCCGATGGAATTGAGCAACTTCTCCATTTCCTCTACTACTGCCCTCGTAGGCATGTTGAGTCTGCTCGGGATATCTAGCTCGGCTAGGGTATTGGTAATACGCTGGTGCTGAGCATTACTCTTTGTTGTGAGGATCTTATTTATTCGTTCGTAACGGAACGTTGGTCCTGAAGGCAAACGATCGTGGTGTGATACGCCGTATATTTGTTCTTCCTGTTCGGTGAGCTTCTTTCTCTCGGGCTGGGCCCCCTTCTTGGCAGGACGTTCGGGACGCTCGCCGCCTCCGATAGAATCACGATGACCCGTCGACGAAGCTGCGATGCTCTCCCGGCGGGTTTCTGATATCGGAGTAGAGTTGGGGTGATTGGAGGGGTGCGCTGAGGGATGAGCTGATGCAGGCGTGTTCGCACCGTTAGCTTCCATAAGTGACTTTCGTTTCTTGGTCTTGTCCACATTCATGAGATTCTGAAGAAGCGTCTGTAATCCAGCACTGGACTTGAACGCATTGATATCTTGTTCCGTGTGTGGGTAGTCAAGACGGTTGTAAAGCTCACGACGTTCTTGGTTGAGCTTCTCCTGGCGGGCAAGTATTCGGCGTACTTCAACAAGCAGCAATTCTTCTTCCTGAGCTTCGTCCCTAGATCTAGACAAGGCTTCTGCTGCGAACATCTTGCGTTTTGTCTCCGAGACGGGGTTGAAATTAGCCATGACCTCATGAAGCGCAAATTCAGCTTGGGTCATGTACTGAACAGGCTTCTGGACGGCCATCATCTTTGCCGCAACTTCGTAATACCGAGCCTTCAGATCCTCCAAAGTCCGCCCCTTAGGTGCCGGGACTACGGCGGTCTTAGGGTCGGTAGTGTCTGGCCCCTCGCCATTCGTTATATTATCGTCTAGCTTCGGTTGATAATCATATCTATCCCATATCAGAGGCCACCTAAGGTCGAAGTTTCTAGCAAGATCGAATAGGTAATCTGTTTCATCCTTCGTCCATTCATCGCTCTTTAAGTTGGACTTGTATTGGTCGTCGCTGTATTGAGGAATGTCCACTTGTACGTTAAACTTAGAAAACCCCGAGTCTTCAAGTTCCGCCGATTTATCTTCCACATTAGTCCCATTCTCCCCGTTTTGCTCATCCTGCGGTCTTGTCTGATCTTCCGTCTGCTTCCTCCAATGCCGTAGATGTAGTGACTGATCGCTTCGCGCTGAGTTGCGGAAAGGACGTAATTCCCATCGCGCAGCCGGCTTCCTACTTCCAAATCGCCGCTTTTTGAATGAAGATAACTCCGGGACAATTGCTATAGGATTATCGCCTCCTAAGTTTTGTACCTCCCTTGCTAAACCCTTCAAACTCGGTCGGGGGACATTCGTCTTCTGTTTTTTGGCTGGTCGCGAACCAGCATCAAGCGGCAGGTTGAGGACATCGCGGACGTCATGGGAGGCCATGTTATGAGGCTATTACTGTAGTTTCGGTAATTTTCGCCTTACTTGGTTATTGAAGGGTAGGGATGACTACTGGAGGAAACGGCGGGAGTACGAAATAGGAAGGGCGGTTTAATGGCCGAAGACGGAAATATTAAACTATATACGCGTAATAACACATGGCAGAAGAATAATGAAGAGAGGTTCTTCGAGATAGTGTGGACTTCTCGGCGCGTCTATTTGATGTTTCGTTTATTGGAGTGGATGACGCTATTTTACCGTGGAAATAGAGGATCGCGCATTGATTTTTGGTGGTGCAAAAACGGTTGATTGAGACTGCAAAATTATTCGAACCTTATGCGTCAAAGAGGAGTATTGAAAAACAGGGGCACATACTTTCCCACCTGCCTGCCAATGCTTCTCACCTAGCTTCTCCATCACGTGGTCAGCATATCAACTTATCGATATACCACTGTAAGTTTAGTGCCAATGCCAGTGCCAGGGGACTCCTTTCGGACCTTTCCAGCAGCCCAGTTGCACTTCAGGCCATTGCAGCACTGTCTAACCCCTGTACAGGCCATTTTTTCGAACGTGGCACCTTGGAATTTAGAGTCCGCGAGAGCTTCACACGGCTGGCTTGACAATACAATCCAAACAACACCTAATTTGCCAACGCCCGTCGTCAACCATTCGACCCGACCCTAAACAAATCCCGATACAACCAATTGAAAAAAAAGATAACATAATAAATTCGACAAGTACGCTACCGACAACGATGAGGGTGCTTCTTCCCCTCCTGATGCTGGGCTCCGTCGCCCATGCGCTCTACTTCTTCCTCGACGGCACGAACGCGAAATGCTTCTTCGAGGAGCTGCCCAAGGACACACTAGTCCTCGGACATTACCAGGCCGAGGAGTGGGACGACAACACACATTCCTGGGCCAAGCACGACGGCATCAGCATCTACATCTCCGTTGACGTTAGTCCTACTTCCACTCCCACGCTTCCGCCTTAATATCAGCTCTTCCTCCGGTCCAGAGCAGATGCGCAAAACAACCCAACCCAACCCAATCATAGCGATCCCACTAACCCCCTCCCTAGGAAGTCTTCGACAACGACCACCGGGTAGTCTCGCAGCGGGGATCCTCGTCGGGCAAATTCACCTTCACGGCGGCCGAGTCGGGCGAGCACAAGATCTGCTTCACGCCGAGCAGCAGCAGCGGGCGCCCAGGCTGGCTTTCGGCCGCACAACCCAACGGCGGCATCAAGCTGACCCTCGACCTCGCCATCGGCTCCTCCGAGATCGAGTCTACCGATAAGACCAAGCTCATGGACATCTCCCAGCGCATCCGCGACCTCAACGCCCGCCTCCAGGATATCCGCCGCGAGCAAATCTTCCAGCGGGTAAGTTTATTATTCTTTCTCATCCCATTTGGTCATTTTTATCTTCAGCAGAAGGAAGAGAGGGGGTGGTAGAAAAGGGGGGGGTTCACCGTCTCGTAGATCGTGACAGATTCGGTTTAAATATAGCCCAAGAATCCAGCTGTGAAATACTAACACTCTCCTCAAACCCACAGGAACGAGAAGCCGAGTTCCGAGATCAATCCGAGTCTACTAACTCACGTGTTGTGCGCTGGATGGTTATCCAGCTTGTCGTTCTCGGTATTACATGCGCCTGGCAGCTGTCTCATCTCCGGTCTTTCTTCATCAAGCAGAAGCTTACTTAAGTCCGCGACGATCATGTTGTTATCAGTAGGCAAGGGGAGTTTTGGTTTGTACGAAAGCTGTCACGGTTAACGCAGCTTACGGTAAACGGGAGAAGGATTACGAAGGTGATGATACTTCGGGTGTTATAACTATGGCCGGTCGTCATGTACTGATTACATTACCACGTTGGAACGGAAACCGTCTACCATTAGATTCTACCATTAGATGGACTCACTTGTCCCGTTGGAAGAATTTTACAGGCAAAATTTTGTGCACGTAGGGACAGATTAGCATCAGAATATGTTTATTTTCAGAGGATGCCACCGGCCAGTGACGAGCACATATTAATAAATTACGGTAGTACTACTAGGCTAGGACGGTATAGTATCACGTATCAATCGATCGAATGCAACATAAGTCCCAATGTATATCTCTTTGAATCAACTTACGGTGCAACGCTCAGCACCGAAATCATTATGAATCTCTTCTTTTCTGTCCTATACCTCCCATCTACCGACTCAACACTTCCATGCTTCTCAGGCACCGACTGCGAGATCCCCTCCTACTATAGCCACTCTGCGCTCTCCCTCCTCCATATACTACTTCTGCTTAATACAAAACCCGTCTCAACTCTCGGGTCCCCCTCCCCCTCCCCCTGCTTCTTAATTATGAACGGTGTATAAAGGGATGGGATAACAAAAAAAACGAAACCCGATCCCAATGCTCGCCAACAGTGCAAATCCCACCAGCGCCGTGCTGCGCGCTACTAATTAAACGACCTGTGTCTATCTCATAAAAACGAGAGTCGTGAAAGGAAAAGATATTCATTCGTGTCTCGGGTAACGCCAAGCCTTGATCCTAATAGGAAATCATGTATTCGATTGGCCGTCTTCCCGGGCTTTGTAGGGGTATTATTCCGCAAATTTGCGTAGGGTGATCCAGGCTGCGATTCAACATGTTGATAAGTCTGTTGCTTCAAACATACACATCGAATGCGGCAGCACTATCGAGGCTCTTAGCCCACGCAAGCAAAATCCATCGAGAAGACAACTATGGAATGACACACAACGACCAAGACTTAGTAGGATGAACACCTTAGACCAGGATGCATTAGTAGTAATAAAAATCGGCGCAGGAACTCCATCCAGGATCAGTTCTAGTCTATAAGATCGCCAGTATGCCACGTTAGATTGGGTTTAACCTATCATTTTATCAGCTCTATGCTCGTTGCTAATATAGGCGACGCTCGAACTAACCGCAGCAAAGGACCTTCATGAATTTCTGAAATCCTGTCGGTTGGGTTTCTGACGCTATTCCATTGCCCGCGGCCGGCGATCCCATATTCGCTTGGGGTGCCATCCTCGTTGGTAAGTTTTGGTTGCTGTTCTGGAATTGGGCTTGGGTTGAAGGAGTTGGTGTAGCCATGTCCCGAAGGCCCCCCACCGCGCTACCTCGCTGCGCTGCCGTGGCGCCGAGGGCGTTTTGCCGGCGCTTGTCCGTCGGTCTGGCTGGAGACGGAGGTGGGGGCTGCGCGGCGTTTAAACGCTCGTGAGTAAGGCCGCCAGGGGCGTTAATACGAGATTGGTTGTGCAACTCTCTGGCAGAGAGACCCGGCTGCTTATTCGGGTTGTGGTAAGGTCCAGGCTTGTGCATAGCATCCCAGCCCTTGGACGACTCCTTGCTAATCTTCATCCAGTCGTACTCGCCATCCTCCACCTCACCGGTGTTCTTAAGAGCCTGGGTGAATAGTTCACGCAGGTAATCGTAGTCGGGAGTATCTTCGAAACCGAGGTTCCTCACGTAAGTGAGGTACTTGCTAAACTCCTCTGGGAAACCTTCGCATAGATCCTTTATGGGTGTGGTCTGCTTCTTTTCGCCAATCTTCTCGTATTTCTGCTTATTCGTCGCAGCCTTCAGGCCCTGCCAGGGAAGTCCACCTCGGAGGAAGTACATGAACACATGGCCGAGAGCTTCTAGATCGTCTCGCCGTGACTGTTCGCGTCCAAGATGGGTATTGATACTCATGTATCGGGCAGTTCCGGACAAGGACTTTCGCTCTCGATACGGAATATGTTGTTTTGTCTTCGGGTCTCGGTACTGTTTGGCCATACCAAAGTCAACGACGTGAATAACATTCGCGGCTTTGGTCCCAGGACGACCGATGAGGAAGTTGTCGGGCTTGATATCTCTGTAGATGAGATTCTTCTCGTGAATGGTTTGCACTCGGGAGAGCTAGAATCCAGTTTAGTTCCTGCGCGTAATTGACTCATAAAATTCCGGGGACGAATTACCATTTGCTTCGCTACCATGACAACGGTCTTGATAGTGAATCTTCGGTTGCAGTGGTCGAACAGGTCTTCCAACGAGGGTCCAAGCAAATCTATGACAAGAATATTATGCAGGCCTTCCTGTCCAAAATAATAGACATTGGGGATACCAGCTAAGAAACGAAGCTTGTCAGTTACAAAAAGTATACGGATGAAACACATTAGTTGACTTACGGCATCCGACAAGAATCTTGTATGTACGATATTCATCTCGTAATTGCGGCGCATCGCTCTTCCGTGGTTCCTGCCAAGCGTGTGTGGTTAGAACTAGACGCCTTGTATGGTGCGGTGATTGAGGATTGACCAAGGGGCATAGGAGCCTTGCCGACGATAAATGAAAATAGAGTCAATATTTACTTACAAACTTGATGGCGACTTGCTGGTTGTTCAGTAAATTGGTGCCTTCGAAAATGACACCGAATGATCCTTCGCCAATCTTCTTTCCCACCCTATAGTGGACGCCCACGACGTTTGACGACGAGGAGGCCATTGTGGATGTATGAAGCCGTTGTCGATTGGGAGTCGGAGACCAGCAGAAGACGGGAGCAACACGGTCGGAAGGGGCCTACAGGAGAGCGAGTGTCGCCTGGTCCGACACGAGTATCCTAGATACTCGAAACGACTCAGAAAAACCGAAAGCTCATCCCCTCGAGTTGCGTATAAATTAATTAAGACTCGAGCAGCTGAACTGACGGGATTAGTCAATCCTCGTAGGTGGTTGTTGGGTGAATTGATAGATCGGGATGGATTGAAAAGCGACTTGAGAAAGTGAAGATCAGGAAGGGAGGAATTTGGGGAGAAGCGGTCGGGGAACGGCAGTGGCTAGAGTGGCAGCAGAGTGGCTAAGGAAGTGAAAGTTGCAGGTGGCCCAACTGCGCCGCGACCCCCTTTAGCCTTGATTCAAGGTGTACCTAGGTACATGAAATACAACTGGGTCAATCAGGTACTTCGTACTAGCCAAATTGCAGCGTATTTTAGGCGGGGCCTAGGTAATTTTAGGTAGTGCTGGGGGGGGGCCACCTGAATCACCACCGGAACAGAAGCTTAACTGAAAGCAGGCAGTAAAAGGCTGGGCATTGGGGCAATGGGAGGCCAAGGCACCAACTCACCCGGCCAGGGTCTTTAAATTCCAATCAAGACAAGTCCGGCGCAACAATCCGATTGTCAGTTGCTGTAGTGAATAATAATCGACGAATTACAAAGTAGCGTCCTTTAGTAAATAAATGCACAGTTGGTTACAATGACCACCTTTGTTTAGAAAAGATTTCTTATAAAGAATATTTACAAAAGAGTCCAGAATATGTGTATAGGTATGTAAAGGGGAGAAAGAAATACAAAATATCGGTCTGTCCGTTACATGGCCTGGACCCTTGAAGTTGTTATTAGTTTAGGAGCTATCCTAACCTTGGTACCTCCCATGCAACTATGCTCGTTGTTCGGCAAAATTATTGGTGCCCCTGGCTGTAAATCACAAAAGAAGCATTTTTGTCCAGAACTTTAACCAGCTAAACCGATCTTTAAAATCGCATTTACATCATCTTAAATATTCAATGTTCTTATCGAAATAGAGTTAGGTTAGATTATTGCAAAGCAAATAAATTGCTAGCTTCCAAAATGTTAAAATGGTCACCAAGCATCGCATTGACGATCAATCATCACGGGCCAACAACTGTGCAGTACAAATGTATGAAGGGGGTGTGAGATTGGGGTGATCCGAACCAGACCTGACAAAGGTGCATTAGGTCCGTGGACATGCTACACATTTATGCATTCATTCTCAAACTGACAAAACCGTAAGATCTTAATAATATCGCGAAAGGCCATTCTACTACATATCAATCAATTGTCTTTTGCCAGGCTTACGAAAAAAAAAAATTCTAAATCAAGGCTCCGTACCTGATAGAGTTCATTGGCTATTGGAGAATTGAATATCCTAGTTGGTTAGATCTCTATCAAAGCCAAGAGTTATATTCCACCAATTATTCTCGTTTTGCAATACCTGCTGACCTTTGAGACTCCAGTCAGTTTTGTGTTTCTTTTATCACCAGTCCACGATGTATCATGAGTATCTTGAGCATAACTAGAATATTTGTGACTTATATGTATATACTCTCTCCAGCGATAAAGCTTACCTATTCAGCTGGTAAGGCGGCTATCGCCGATCTAAGTGGCATACTAGATTTCGAATCCGATCGATCCGCTTGCATTTATCTCCAATTTACCTCCGAGCTCTACGTAATTGCGAGCTTCCTAAGCGAGATAGCCAACTGAACAATTCAACAACTGCATTTACGTAGAGATAAGTGCCATGTACATAATAAACCCGCGTACTCGTAATCGATAGGAAACTTCTTTACCTCGGATACAGCGTCATAAACAGGTACCTAACCTGGTGGGTATTCATTCCAAACTCGTGATATTGAGGCTCTCCAAATTGGCATACACCCACTCATAAATCGTGGGCGGCCGCTTATTTAATAATCAAGATATTAAGACGAGGGTACCCGAACTGTTATTGCCATCAGATAATGCGAAAAGGTCCAATAAGAGAAAAATTTCATACGTCAACAAAGTCGTCTTACATGAGCCAATTTCCTATTAAGCACATTACATGTACACGTGTATATTTACACCAGAGCCGCTATAACAGGTGGATCTGTCCTAACAACTCAGTAGCAACACAGAAACAGTTTGCTACGCAGGTCAAAGACACGTCGAATCCTACCCAATAGTTTGCCAAGATTGTCAACCCCATAGCTGAAAACAGCCTTACCATTGGTGCCGAGTTTTTCCGAGCGAAGCAGAGCTGAAATCGGAGCAAACATAAAACCTGTAAGCAAGGATTTCAGACTCAGCCACCAACATGTTCCCTATCGGGATCAGAGCTGAGTGGCGCAAGTCCCGAGCCGTTGAGATATGCGTAGTCCCGAATTCTTGTTTCGACCTCATCCTATTCCGCGATTATATCTAACCCGTCCCTGCTCAATGATAATGAGAGTATGCAGATGAAGTCGCATTCAACACCGACACTCCCTACGTTTCAACTATGTCGTCAGAGGCTGCATCCCACCGGAAGAGGGAAAGACACCAGTTGTTGTCCTTGTGTCTTAGAGCGGGCCTGTAAAACAAGCACCGCATACAAGACAGGTAACTAGCTTCGGTTTAGGAGAGAAAAAAGGGATGTGCTAGCTCAGCCCTGTTCGTGTCTAAGTCAATTTATTTATAGTTCCAAAATAAGAGCGAGAAATAAGTTGTTGATAATAGGAGACAAAAAAAACTTCAACTCCAAAGATCAATACCCACCATATGCATTCATTCAGAACAGGTAGCATATTTTCTATCCTGTCCTATGCTAGTCTCAAGCGTAGATATTCTGCAAAACTTAGAGGGTTCATCTAACCCTTAGCCAGAGCAGCTGAGCTACGGTTGTCTCAACAAGTGAAGCTTAGGAATGGTAAACCGGTTGCTAATGGATACTTTAGGTCAACAGAAGGCGCTCCCGCTGCCTAGCAACAGCAAACAGCAACCTTCAAGATGGCTAAGGAATTCATTCAGACCTCAAAAATAAGCCAGCCGGTATGTCCTAGGCCTAGTCGGATATTTGAGTTCAAGATCACAGCAAGTAAGATTCACTTAAGTAGATCATTCATACATATTACTATTCCAGGGTCAGTAATACACATAATCTTCTACCTAGTCTACGCATTTACATTTTAATTTCCTAATTTAAACGCCGGTGTGTAATAATTTCAAAGTCCTTGATACAACTAATACTTGTGAATATTTGTGATATTTGAAACTTCGTCCATAGGTTAATATCCATGATCCACAACCGATTGACAAGGTTGACTTCATGTTCATCACAAGCCAAATTCTATTCACGATTCATTTTTATAAGGTCATAGTTCCACTTGGAGGTGACGTCTAGGGGTATTTAACATATGCAAAAAAGGCATAGAATTGATCCAAAGTTTCTGTTATTCTACTTAACGGGAGCCCATAGTAAAATATTATAGAAGTCAATATATCTAAGAAAGTAGATAAAATCATAGCAAGTATGAAAAGTAAGAGACGGTATCCGTCATTGCATTAAGTACCAAATTTCTCCAAGCTTATAATCTAGTGGTCCTCTACTACATATTTACTAAGAATACTATATAATAGATTGTCGTACGCATGGGTTCTCACACTCCTCCCTTACTCTGGTACTTAGAAGTAGCCGTTGGATGCTAGCTAGAATTCTAATGGTTAAGGATAAGAAGGGCATATTGGCGCTGATTCTTTATACATAATATGACATAGCTATTCACAGGCAACATAGGCAGTCTTTAAACTCAGCTCACAGATACTTAAAAGGGATTTTCCAGTACGGAAGTTGGACGATTAAGCCGGGGAAACCACTTATGGATTACACATATACCTTATAGATTCCATAGATATGTTTAAGGCAGGCGTTAGGTTAGCTACGCATTCCCTATCAAATCACGATACTAAAACTAATTCATCAAGATGTCTTCGGGATCCTTGTATATTCTTAAGATTCGAAGGAATCTAAGAGTCACATGTGGTAAAGGATTTCCGAGAAATCCTAGCTAAGCTATTCGGAAGGTTGAGGCTAAAACGCAAACGAGCTGCCAAATTCATCTATAAATCTATGTATCATCATCTTTGTGGATGTATCATGCTTTGTCATGATATTGATCATGCCTTGTATAAAACCGTGTTTTTAGTCCCCCCAAACCCCGTTTCCCTCGGATATAACGCGGCCAAGATTCATGCGGCCTGCAATGCTTAAGGCAGTATGCTTCATTAAGTCGATATCGTGATATAGCTTGTCGGTATGTCCTATGAACCAAGTGACTGAGCCGGAAATGGCTGCAGCGCTCACAATACTATCATAGTTGAACAACGTTGTTAAGTAGTCGGACTTCCTCTCCTGGCTTGAATGCCGGCAATCCTATATAGGGGCATCCATCACATCGGAAAGCATCGCCTAGTGAGCAGTTTCCGCAGGATCCGACCTTGCCCTTTACGGTGAAGTCCACTTCGGTTAGATCGTTGGAGTCAAGCTTCAGAGCCTGAAGTTTCTCGTCGGCTTGCTTCCTTCTTGCTGCATCTTCGGCCTCCAGCTTCTGAGCCAGACCACATGTGCAATCCTTGCAAGCACGTCTTCGCTTGCCGACCTTCGGTACGCATTCCGCAGCTGCAATACAGGTTAGGGCTTAGTACTGAATGAAGCCTATGGGGAAAGACTACTTACGAATAGCCAAGGGTTTATTCAAGTCTTCCTCTGTCAACAAGGTATCCTCGTCGATTAGCTCGTCATCGTCCTCAGGAGCGTCAAAGTCATAGCTAAGGTCCACAAAACCAACACCTGCAGGGGTTGACTTCACAGTGGGAGGCACCATGTTAAGCCTTGCATCCTTCCCGTTGGCTTGGTGAACAGTAACATTCTTTACTGCAGGGCCGGCGGCACTTCTCTTCTTGTTCTTGCCTAGTCCCAGTTTAAGAGGAACTGCACTAGCAGCGCCATCATCTGGCTTTGAGAATCCGTCGTCGCCAGGCAGCAAGCCGGATAGGAGGGCCTCTCGCGCATCAGGTCCCTGACTATTCTGTGCTAGGGAGCCGTCTTGCGCTTGGATCTTTCCTCCAATTTTGAGTGTTGGTACGATCTTAGCGAAAACATCGCGATTGAGAAGGAGTCTTGATTCAGCACGCGTGCCATCGGCGTCTGTGAGGACCAAGATTAGGTCATAGGTTGCGTCGGGAAGGTTAACAAGACCGGCAGAAAGACGGTCAAGCATCTGCAAGTCGGTAACAGACCGGTCGTGGGCGGCTAAGACGTTTCGTAACTTCTCCTCATGACTGGCAATAGACGGAGGGGCAAGGAGTAGGGTTCGGGGGCCTGAGGAGCCATTTTGGGTCGGGGTTGAGCCGAATACATCGAAGTCCGATGTGTTATCGATTGTGACGATTGAGGGAGACATGATGGAGGTTCTATGCGCCCGATGCGCCTCCTAGTCGAGGATTGTTGCGGAAGGATTGTTGTGTCGGTGAACTCAATGAACTCAAGAGGTAATAATGTTAAGTACCTTATCCGCGGGGCAAAATGGGTGCAGGTAAGGGCGAGGGGGCAACTAAACAATCTAGGCTTTCGAGGTTCTTTGTGATAGAAATTCCTTAAGTTATCGGATTTGCTGTTATTTATTTGGCGGTAGGGTGAATTAGTGTTCGGATTACAAATTGATTTTGAGAAGTTCTTTTACTGGATTACCTAAGTCGAAGGCTTTCACAGGTTGAGTCAGGTATGGTAGGGGAAGAGCGTCTTTGCTAAGCTAGGTGATTAAGAGAAAATTATTGACTGTGACGAAATGTTTCTCCTCGCAAACTGTTATCAGATCCGATTGCGGCGCTAAGTATTTCGTACTGCAACCTTACCCCATTTTAATGATAGCATTTGGTACTAGGTAGTAATTTCTAAGAGCTGATTGGCAGGGAACTGATTACAGCGTGCTGATTGGCGCCGAACTCTAATGCTTTTACATTTTAACACCAATGTTTTAAAACCGAAGGCCCCCTTGTAAAAGGAACCATAAAAGCCCGACTTTTAATAAAGCTTAAGTTTTTTTAAACTTTACTTGTTATAGTTAAGTATTTAAGTATATATTTATGTTTAAATTAAAAAATAAGTTAATATATTACGTTATTATTTAAAATTATAATTTTATAATATTATAATGTTATAATTATAAAAGGTAATAAAGATTTAATTATTAAAACGTTATTTTTAATTTTATATATGTTATATTTGGTTAAATTTATTAAATTTTTTAATTTTATAAATTATTTTATAAAAATAACCGCTTTAATATTATTTGTAAAAATAAAGTAACATATATTTAAACGAAATAAATGGTTAATTTATAATAATAATAAATAAGTAAATATTAATAATTAAAAATAATATATTATGTAATGTAAAAATATATTTAATAAGTTTTATTTTATTAATTTTAAATTTTATTTTATTATTTTTTTATTAATGTATTTTAATATATATTAAAAATGAAATTAATTATGATAATAAAAGTTAAAAAGGTTAAAAAAAAGTAATTATTTATATATATAAAAGTAATTAAACGTTTAAGTTATATAAAAGTTAATAATAATCGAATATAATTAATTATTGTTATTATAAAATTATTTTATAAGTTAACGGTATATTAAAATTTTACCGGTTTTAACTTTTTAAATTTACGGGTGTTATAAAAACAATTATAAAATAATATATTTCGGGGAATTTTTTTTAAAATTTATTTTACTGTTTTATACGGTTTGGTTTTTTAGTTAAAATTTAAATTTTTTAAATATATAATTTTTTATTTAAATAAAAGTTAAATATAATTAATTGTTATTTAAATAAAGTTATTATTATAATAATAAAATTAAATATAATAATAATAAAAGATAATAATAAAAAATGGTAATAAAAGATAATTTAAAAAAATTAAAAAAAGTAAAAAAAAAATAAAAATTTATATAATAATCGGGTAGGTAATGTTAAAATATATAAATTAATAATATTGTTATTAAAAAATAAATAATTGTTATAAAAAAATAATAATTTTTTTTCGGTATTAATTTATTATAAAAAATAATTAACGCAATTTTTTAATATAATAAAAATAACGTAATTAAAAATTTACGCAAGTTTTTTAAATAATATTAATAAATTAAGTAATAATTTACATATTTATTATATAATTTTAAACATAATTTTATTATGTTAAAGTTTTTTTTAAATATATTGCGATAAATTTATTAAATGTAAAAATTAATAAAATTAAAAAAATTATTATATTATATTAAATATATTAAAGTTATATGTTTTTTGTATTATATAATATAATTTAATATTTAAATAAAGTTATGTTATTAATAATGTTATTATTATATTTAAAATTAATTTTTTTAAATTTTATAACGTGTAAATTTATTATAACGTTATTATTTTAATCGTTATTATTAACGGTAATAAAAGATTGTAAAAAAAAAAAGGGTAAATTTATTATTAAAATTATTAAACCGTTAATATTTTTAACCGATATGTTTATTATCGTTTTTATTATATACGTGGTTATATGGATTAAAATTTATAATTTAATTATTAAAAAAATAATATTAATAAATATTATTATTAATTATTTTATTATTTTTGTTATTTTTATTATTTTTATTATTTTTATTATATATATTATTATATAAATTAAAATTTATAATTTAATTGTTAATAAAATAATATTAACAAATATTATTATTAATTATATTATTATTTTCATTATTTTTATCGTTTTTATTATATATGTTATTATATAAGTTAAGATTTATAATTTAATTATTAACGGAATAATAATAATAATTTTTATTATTTTAAAATAAAAACCGTTTTTTTGAAAGTAAGCCCGAGTTTGGTAAATTAGTACGAAAAAGTAAAAATAAAGAAATTTAACTTAAAAATATATTTTTAACTTAAGTTTAAAAATATATTACATTTTTTATAAAAAATAAAAGTTTATATAAACTTTTTTTAACTTTATAAATTATAATAATATTTATTTAAAAAATAAATTAAATAAAATAAGTAAATAAATATTTTTAATAAATTTTATATAAATTTTAACATTTAAAATTATAATAATACTTTTTTATTTTTTTAAAAGTAATATAAATTAATTTAAATATATAATTAACTAAATAATATTTATTTTTGCGTTTTTTAAAAAATAAAATAATTTCCATATTTTTATTTTATAAATAATAAACGTTTTTATAAAATATTATTAAATTTTTTATATTATTAATTTTTATAAAGTTAATATATAACTTTATTATATTTACCCAATATTATTAATTTATAAAATTAAAGATTATATAAATACGTTTTAAAATAATATAAAAGTTAATAATTTAATAAGTTTAATTATAAATTAATATTATTTATTAACTATTATTATTTAACTTTACGGTATAAATTAATTAAAATATAATTATTTTTTATTAAAAAAAAAATAAATCACCGTGGGAAAATATTTAATAATTAAAAGTTAACATAAATAAGTAATAAATTATAATTAATTAATTATAAAAAAAAAAATAAAAATATATTATTTTATTATTATTTATATTATTATAAAGGTAATAAATTAAATTAATAAAAATATTATTATTAAAATAAGTAATAGTTTTTTACTTATTAAGTTTTTTTAAACATAATAAATAAACGTAGTTAAATTTTTTACTATTAAGTTATTTATTAATTTTTTTTTAGTTTTTTATTTTAAAAAACTAAATATTACCAGTTATAATATAATAAGTATAAATAATTAAATTATAATTAAAGCTTTTATTAAAATAAATAAATTGTAATAATAAATTATTTTCATTTTTGTAATTAAAATGTTTAATAATAAAAGTATATTAAAAATTAATAAAGTTAAAGGAAAAGATTATATATAATAATTTAAAACATATATTTATTATAAAATTAATATATTATAAATTATTATAGTAAAAAAAAAGGTTGTAAAAAAAGTAAAAAATTAAAAAATAATTTAATATTAAAATAAAGTTATATATTTAAATTAATATATTAGAATAATAATGTATTAAATATATAATAATTAATTAAAATAAAATATTAATTTTAATTAAATTAAAATAAATTATATTACAAATATTAAATAAAATTAAATTTATAATAAATTAAATTTAATATTATAAATAAAAAATTTTTTTTATTTTTTTAACGCTTTTTTTTTTATTTTTATCTTTTCTAAAAATAATTATTTTTACGTTAAAAACTTACTTTATACATTATTACTTAAACAGAAATAAATTAATATATATATTATTTTTTATATTAATTTTAATATTATTATTAAATTTATTATTAAAACTAAATATTAATAGTAATTTATACATAAACATTAGTAAAAATATTAAAATAACCGATTTAAACAATTTTATTTAATTTATAAAATTTCTAACTTTAAATATAACTTTTATATTTAACTTTAACACGTTTACCGGTACAAGCATTTACCTTTTAATTAATTATATTAACTTTTATTATAAAGAAATTTATTTATTTAATTATAAAAAAAAAACTTTCGTTTTTAAAATAAACGTTTTTAATATAATCGTTAAATAAAATCCTTTTTTAATAACCATAACATATATTAAACATTTATTTAATAATATATCTAATTTATAATTTACTTTTATAATTAAAAAACTTTTTAATTTTTTAATAATTTAACCAATATAATAAATATATTTATTATTATATAAACTAAATTTACTATCTTTTAAAACCCATTTATATTTTTTATAAACTATTTTATTAAATAAAAAAAAAACATAAAAACTATATATTTATATACGTAAAAGTTTTTACCTTTTAACTTTAATTAATAAATTAAAATAAAATTAAAATTTAATAAAAACTTTATATTTTTTAAACTTTTTTATCATATTATTAATTATAATTAAAATAATTAAATTAAAAATATTACATATTTTACTTAAAAAAAACAATTAATTTATTTTACTTATAAAATTTAAACTTTAAAATTAACCATTATTAAATTATTTAACTTTTTATTTTAAATTAATTTTTTATATATATATAATTTTTAAAATATAATTTAATATTTATATTTAAATATTATTTAATAATATTATTATTAACATTTATTAATTATTATTAACATTTAAATTATCTTTTATTAAAGTTTAATAATTTTATAAATTTAAAATTTTATAAATTAAAATATTATTACTTTTTATAAAATTAAACCTATTAATAATTATATAAACATATATAATTATTATTATTTTCATTTTTTTAATATAATTAAAAATATTAAATTTTATATTTTTTAATATAATAATATAATATAAAAAAGTTTTTATTTCGAAAATAAATTAAAATTTTTTAAATTTAATAATATATTATTATAAATATTTATACATTAATATAAACTTAATTATTATTATATAAACAATTTTTAACTTTAAACTTATAAAATAACAAATAATTAATTTTTTTTTCCAAAAAATAAACAAAAATAATATAATAATTTTTTTTACATATTAATATATTAAATAATAAAATATATAAAAATATATTATATAATAAAATATATAAAAATATATTATTTAATAAAATATTATTTAAATTATTTATATAAAATTTTTATTAAAAATAATATTAAAAATAAAAGAATTTTTAATTTATATATATAATAATATAATTTAATAATTTTTTTATTTATTAAC